TTTGATGTATCAGAAGTTATCTCTCCTCTTTGTAAATAATAAACTCTTGGCAGGCAGCCACTAGGTTGTTGCCAAGTTCTGTTATCTTAAGGAAAAGGATTTTGCCAGCTGGTTTGGTCTTTAACTCTTGAACGTCTGTTGGTGTGTGTGCATGTGCTTGGGGACAGAACAACCATACCCAGGCCCTTAGCCATCTATCCTTCCTTCCTTGCTTGCTTCCTTTCCACTCTCCCTCCCTCTTTTGAGGGGTCAAAATGGAAAGGCCCCCGCCCACCACTGCCTGCTTGTTTTCTGCTCTGCCTGTAGCTGCTGTGAGGTTAAAAAAAAAAAAGACCCTTTCCTTCCATTGCCTCTGATCATGGACTCCAGCCTCCCGCCCCACGCCACTCTGTAATTGATCCTGCCTGCCTGACACTGAACATGCAGTTGGCTTAAGATTTTCGGTTGAACTTCCGGTGCCTTCAGAAGCGAGATTTGCGACTTCTGCAGGTCTGTTCTGAGCTTTCCCTGTTGGGGGCTTCATTTGAAGCCACAGCCATCCTGTATGGGTGGTGAAGCAAAGGGGGACCACCTTGCAGGTTGAGGGGAGCCGCATCTCCCTGACTTGGAAAACCCCCTCACCTGAAGACTAGGAGCAGAGATTAAAATGGCTGCCATGAAGCCGGGGAACAGCCAGAAACCATAGGTTTGTGCATGAGCAGAGAAACAGTGAATGGTGTGTTGTCTGGGTAAGAAAAGATTTACAGCTGAAGCCGGACCTCCCAAAAATTTAAGGGGAATATCATTTAGAACAATTTGTTACAGCGGCATGTAACTATTGTGAAAAAGCATATTGGAAATTTAAAGAAGTAAATATTTGTTTAAAAAGAAAATTAAGTTGGAAATGGAATCCCCAAAACAAAAGGCGTGATATTAAGAAGGCATATTAAGATGCTGGAACTATGAACCTACCTTTTCTTCAAATAATTTGCCATAAATAATGGAGTTATAAGTTAAACTAAGCAAGAGAAATAAATTGGACTTGTCAGAATAAAAGCAGAGTGGCAGCAGTCAAAATAAAAGCAGAGAGGCAGCAGAGTAAGTAAAGAGCGCCATCTGCTGATGACAGTGAATTTTTGCAACTTGAGAGTAAATATTGAAATGAATAACTGTTGAACTATATTTACCTTCTAACCACTGGAGACTGAAAAAGAATTTGTGTCTGGGAACCCCTAAATACTATTGGATATACAAAAACGACTTGAGGAGTGGAGGATCCCTGAAGTAACTAACTGATTTGATTGAACATTGATGAGACATTTAAATTTGACTTGGAGGTTTGATTTCTGAACTGATGATAGTGGAGACTCAAACGGAATGAAGTTAATGATTCAAAACATTAAGGACATTAAAGACCTTATTCTGGAACTACACAAGGACATAGTGGAAATATTTGGGGAGACACAATTAAAATTAATAAGAATTGAGGAATTAAGACGGGGAAACATTTAAAAAGATTTTAAAAAGAAATGGGACGAACGGGAAGAGGTTTGGAGGGAAACGATAGGATTTAGAGCAGAAAGCTTTCAAATTAAACAGTGGGAAAAGACAGGGCAAGGAGAAAAAATTAAATTATGGATTCAGAATCTAAAATTTGAAGTAGATGGAATAAAAGACTTAAGAGGAAAACGGGGAGACAAGTAAAAAAAAAGGTAGGATTAAAGGATAGGATGTGGATAAGAGATAATGGGGAGAAAAAGTTATAGATATGTCATGATTATATGTTAATAATTTTATTAATATTAGAATGATATACTGTAGGCTGGACAATTAGTTGGTATTTAATACAAATAAATATTAGGATAAACATTACCACAAATAGATATGAAACTGGAAAAATATGAATGAGAATTCATTATTAATTGGAAACGAGAGGTTGAATGATGGTATTATTAAAAGTGTATAAAATATGACTTGCGTAGGTAATGTGAAAGTAGATATATTTATGTGTATTAACAAACTTTAAAATATACAGAGCGGAAGAGTTAAATAATGGGAATATGAATAACAAAACAGAGTATCATGTCCTTGAATATAATAATGTGGAGGGGGAAAAATATTAGTGGAAGTTTAGAATGGAAGGGTATAAAGCAATGTGTCACAAAGTCAAATAAGTTAGGAAAAGAAAGATGAAAAACAGACACAAAGAATGAAAATGGTGGTAAGCTTGAAATGTTAGGATGTAAGAAACTGGTATTCAGATGGTATGCTGTTTGATCAATGAAGTGATGTTAGTATTAAAAGAATAATATTGTAGTTGCATATATATATATGATTAGAATGATGTGTGTAAAATTATTAACATGAACATTAATCAATATTATATTATAATTATGATTGTTATTATTATCAATAACACATGTTTAAGTGATTAAGTCCGTTTCCTTTATTTTTGAATGTAACTTTAAGAAATATAGTTATAGTTGAAAGAGATATTAATTGGAAAATACACCATATCCTGTAGGTATTGGGAATATTATATACAACAATGAAAAGAGAGAGGGAAATGGAGTGGAGTGGAAGGGAGTAGGAGAGGAGGGAAGAAAAAGTAAGGGTAGAGAGGGGAAAGGAGAGAGGGAAGTGGAGGGGAGAAGAAGAGTAGAAAGGGAAGGAGAGGGAAGTGGAGAAGAGAGAGGGGAAATAGAGAGGGGAAAGGAGAAGGAGAGAGGGAAGTAGAGGGAAAAAGAGAAGGGAAATAGAGAGAAAGAGAGGGGAGAAGAGAAGCGAGGGAGGAGAAAGAAGAGGAAAGGAGATGGATTGTTGTTGTAAAATTGGGTGAAATATGGTATACAGGAGAAAAGAAAACAGATGGGCAATTTTGTATTTTTTCTACTTGAGGGTTATACTATTGAAATTATAACGAAAGATAATATGCTGTATGTTAAAGCATATTGATTTAGATGTTATTGCATACTTGTTAATATTTATATGAAAATAAAAATTTTGTGTAAAAGATGGGGGAAATAATATGGAATAAGGAAAATAAAATGTAATAATTATGAAAATGTTTATCTGTATTGAAATGTATGATACTCAAATACCACACCATCCACATAATGATATGTATAAATTTTTTAAAAATAAAAACTTGATGGAGGAACATGCAGTTGGCTTCCCGGTCCATGCCAGAAGGTGCTTTCCCCTGTGCCTGAAGCAGTGTGCCACTGCCATTCAGCTGCCGCACCCTCCCATGCCACAAGCTGCTTCCCCCCGCAACTGAAGCCGTGCGCAACTACATTCAGCTGTTGCACACCATGCCAGAAGTTGCTTTCCCCCGTGCCTGAAGCCATGCATCACTGTCATTCAGCTGCTGTACCTCCCCCATAGCCCCAGCAATAGCCTATTGCACACTGGCAGCCAGAAGCATCATGGCTTCTGCCTGGCACCCAATTGGGTGGTGGCTAATTGTCCCATGTGGCCAAAGGCAAGACAAAGACAAATGATGTGTTGGTGAATGGGCCAGGCTGAAGGGCACGGGGGTGGAGGGCCAGAGGCCCATTGCCCAGGACGAATGACAGTGGAGGAGGAAAGCAGGCTGTAAATGGGCTGAGGCAGGAGACTGGAGGCAAAGGAGGCGTAGCCAAGGGTGAGAGCCTGAAGGTCCCATTCTGGGGAGAGGTAGAGCAGAGAAGGGTAATTAATTCAGCAGTCACATTAAGCTATATGTGCTTTGGAGAGGATTTTGTGAGTTCATAAGACATAAACTAATTCAGACTTACATGAAGTAACTTGAGAAGACTGCAGAAAACAACTTGCAAAAGCCATTATCATCATCATCATTATTATTATTATTACCATTATTATTTAATTTCAAAGTATCATGGTAAGAAAGATCAGTACTTTATTTAGGGTGTCTCTGATTAGAATGCTTTTGGGGGAAATGTTGGTCTTTATAAAATGCTTTGTGTTGCTTTCTGCTATTAATTCTATTTTAACCAAACAGTAATATCTAAAAAACACCATGGGAATGAAAAAGCTGTGATTTGCATACAATTCCCTTATTCCCTTACTTTTCAACCGCTCCTTATTCAACTTCCCAGTTCTTTTTATGCTATCTTTCCTTTTTTCTTGAACTCCCATTAATTTTACATTCAGATCCCTTTATAGACTTATTATCTCTACTTCCTTTTCTTCCCCTTTCATTTTGGATTAATATGTTCACTACTGAACTTGTTGTAAGAAGTTTCAAAATTCATTATATGTTGGCAATTTATTATACACTTCACTATTTTGTTTCATTGTTCCTTTCTTGTTATTAAATGAAGTGTTAAATTACAGTACACCTTATTACCAGTTTATAGTGATAGCAAACTAATGGAGAGAATTAAAGACGTTGCTGCTATCATCATCATCATCATTATCAAAGTACAATTGTAGAACTGTAAAACGCCTCTCCCTATCTGCCCATCCCAACACAAGGAATAGGGCAGCACATTCCAGGTCCTGTTTCTTAAGCATTGCCATCTTGGAGTCTTTGGAAGTATACCTTTTGTGCTGAAACCTCTGCCCTATGTTATGCCTTTTCCACTGAGAACCGACAGGTCCCATGCCTTCTGTCTTACTTTACTTTCTTGCAGCTACTCCAGCTATTTGTAAATTCTGCATAACAGTCTCTAAAGATGGGACGAGTATCATGTTTCTAAAATTTGCCACACATTTAACTGATAAACCACAAAACAATCAAATTTGACTTTTAAATAATATTCAAAATTTCAATCAATATTTTAAGCATTCCATAGAGCCTATCTATGCATAATTTTATAGTTAAACTTCCATAAAAGAACAATAGAAATTAAGATGTTAAGTATTTGGGGGTTTCATTGTTTTTCTTAGAAAAATGCTATGCCTAAAACAAGATAAGGAGTTAAAGATTGTTTGCAAAATGAAATAACTTTTCACTTAAATATAACCTAAAGTTAGAACAGAAATTACAGCTTAAAATGACATTCACAATTACTAACCTTTGCTAAGTAAGCTTCCACTCTGTTTTTTGAGGCTAATGCAGTTCCATTTGTGTTCAGGAATCCTCCTCCAAGGTTAAGAGATTTATTTAATGCTAAATTGTTGCCAAGATTTCCCATCTGAACTGTTTCCAGGACAGGACTTGAAGAAAGGCTTCCACTTATAAAGCTGTTGGCAAGTAAAGACTTGTTTTTGTGACGCTCATGATAGAGTTGAGTATTGGCTTCTGCTAATTTCGCATTAGCTCTGCAAAAGGTTTGGAACAAATCAACAGTTAAACAAGATATCATCTTAGAATAATGATGCACTTAATTGCATAAAAAAGTCAGAACTCCAGGTAAAATGTAATGTATCTCTAACCTGTTCCAGAAATATATCTATGCAGAGCCTTAACCAGTCTAAATAGAGACCTCATTATTATGTTCCAAGTTCTGGAATGGTCATTAAAAATCAACACTTGTTTTTTTCTCTATTGTCCTGACAGTTTTCTCTATCCTCCTGTGCTAAAATAAGCTATATGTCCAGGCACAGTTAGCACCCTGTAATAATTAGAATCTTAGTTGGGAGTGGGTGAGGATTCTGGAAAGCAGAATATGAAGTCTTTCTTTTCCTTGATTTAAAACCTCAGTATAAATTATTGGGGTCCTTAGAATAATTGGATCGGACAGATCCAAAAAGACTGGGGTTGGGCCAGGATTTGGTAAACATGCTTAAAAGCATCCTTAACTATAAAAGCTTACTTAGGCTATCACTCTCTGTGACTTTAGAGCATCACTCTCACACAGCTCAATCTATCTCAAAATGGTGGAGAAAAAAAAACAGAGAGAGTGCTATGTACATTGCCTTTTTGGGTTCCTGAAGAAAAGGCAGGATACATATCTAAAAAAATATATCAATAAAACACAAGGAGAGACATTTTATTCTTAATGGAATGTATCTCCTGCCATAAAATATTAGTCAATACCTATTGGGAGTCCTTAACATAGTAATTGTTTTTCTTTCTATTTTTTTCTTTTTCAATTAATGTTCAATTTTTCAATGTCAATATTCCATTTAATTTGCAAAATAAAATACTCTTTCGCATACCTGTACAAATTTTAAGTATGCAATAATCAATAATTTATGTAATGGTAAAAAAAGCATATGGATGTTATAGTTTTCCTAACAAGCTAGTTTTCCAAGTTTGGCATTAGAAACGATACATTTAGACCTTTCAGGTGGAAAGGGAAATAAGGTTAGCAGAAGATTGCTAAGCTTGGGAGGGTGGGGTGATATAATTTATACTAAATTAAACCTAACCATCACTTTATAAGATAGATGAAATCTATTTACCTTTCTCTCATTCACAGCAAGAAAGCAGCAAGATTCTGTTCATTTCATACATTAATTAGGATTAGATAAAATACCTTCTCTCCAATTCTATCAACCCCTTCTCTCTCGAAGCTGACAGGAGTCTAAAAGAATCACCCTTGTTTTGGAGAAAACACTACATCTGAAAGATAGAAGCCTGACAGAGTGCATCTCCCAGGCCTAACCAAGTATGAGGGTAAAATCTATTTGAACAATGATAAAATATTAGGGACTTATTTAGCCAATATCCCACTTCCATTTTCTTTTATATTTCTACAAGCTAAACCCCTGAATATTTAAGTCTTCATCATATATTTCAAAAAGAACTTTATTTGCAGAACTATATTCTCAGATTACAAACAGAAGTATAAACAGAAAGGTTATTTTCCTAATGTATTTAACTAATCTGAAGAAATATTTTCTGCTTTATAGTAAATGTGGTATAGTATATATATGTATATATATGTATGTATGTATGTGTATGTGTGTGTATATATATATATATATATATATATATATATATATATATATATGAAAAGAGAGAGAGCATAGTATATAGTAAATGTTATTAAATATTAAATTAAATATTATATTTAATATTATTTATTCTATGTTAATATTAGTTTTAATATTTTATTTTTAATGTCCAATGTTATAGTTGTTTTATTCTGTTATTTATGGTATTGTAAGCCATCCAGAATTGCTTAGTAGTAAGATGGATGGCATACAGATTTACTAAATAAATACATGTTGTATCTTTCAAACGATTGAACAGAATATTTTGCAGTAACCAGGTATCGGCTATCATAGTGAGATTACAAAACTAAAATTTTCTTTTCATATTGACATTATCCAATCTGAAATAAATAAGAAAAAATACAACTTTACAAGAATTGAAACATATTTTACTTACCTATCCAATTTGCTCCCCAAAGATTTCCGTATTTTTAGTTCTTCTGAATACAATCCTTTATATCTTTCCAATTCTGTATGTGTAGATTCTTTTTGTAATATGCTATCTTGATGGCTGTTTTTAAATTTGGCCAACTCTGATTCTAATTCTTTAATTCTGTTCTCCAATTGATTTCTCAAAGAAGCATTACTAGTAGCTCTTATCTGTTCCAAAGTTTCTTGAGAAGCAGCCTGTGTCTAATTCACAAAATGTATAATTTAGAAGAAAAGTCCTTGCTGTACACCCAAATCTTAATTATACAATTAACTGAGAATATATTCTCAGTTGTTATATATATTCTCATAATCTGAATGTAGCAACCTGATGAAATCAAAATGTTAAGCAATTTTGTCAACAAAATAATTTACAATTAATATTTGTCAATTATTTAAAGGAGCCAGTTTGGTCTAATGACTAAGGCACCAAGCTAGAACCCAGGGGACTGTGAATTATAATCCTGTCTTAGATGTGTAAAAACCAGCTGGGTGATTTTGGGCCAGTGATTCTCTCTCAGCCCAAACCTCCTCACAGATTTGTGATTGTGGGAAAAATAGGAGGAAGAAGGAATAGCATATGTTTTCTGTCTTGAATTAGTGATAAAATAAAAATAATAAAGATCGGAAATAAGTAAGTAAGTTACCTGCAAAAAGAAATTGACTTCTTCCAATTTTTGTCTTATCTCTTGTTTAGCTCGTTCTTCGATCTCTCTTTTGTATTGTTCCACTTGGCTGAGATCTATTAAGTTACCCTGTACTTGGCGTTTGAGGTTAGCTACCTCTTCTTCTAGTTGCAATTTGCTTTTTTCTAATTTTTCATGATTCTTATGGAATAACTTCATAGATGCTAATTGTTCACGTAGTTCACAATTGGTAGATTCCAGTTGGGTACTTCTTGTTGACTCAACCTCCAAATGGCGAGAAAGTTCATCAACCTGAACAAGCAAGTAACACTTAAAGAAAAAGACTACCAGCTTTTCAAAATATAGGTAATCCCCCAGATACGAGGGTTCCTTCAGTGAATTTTCACCAGAACGAATGTATTCAGAAATTCAAAACTGCGATCAAAAACAGGCCTCTGTAGCCATGTGACTTGGATTCAGTCACAGCTGCAACAGACACCATTTTTAACTCTGTGTCTTGCCTGGCCTATTCGGGCTTACAACTCAATTTCTGAAAGCCGGCAGGTTTTTTTTTTTTTGTCCTTGGTCACATGGCCAAACAAGATCCCGTGTCTTTGCAGTCCGGCCAGCCCCCAGGTTTTTGTTTTTTTGATGCTGCACGGAAGGTCCGCTGCTGCCTGGGCTTGAGAACTGTACTGTAGTGCTAGAATTGCTTCTGTAAGTATTTTAAAATATTCTTTTTTGTTACTCTGTAGTAACAAAAACTGCTCTGCTTCTTTTTAAGTACTGTACTCTACTTTGCAAACTACAGTATTGTTTGTAAGTACAGTTCTTTGTAAAGATAGTTTGTTTGCATTTGCTTTAAAACTGCTTGTAGAAATATCTACACAAAGCATTCTATAATGTTGTGTGCTGTATCTCTTCTCTAAACCCCTCCTGCGCGAGCTGCACTGGCTCCCAGTGGTCTTCCGGGTGCGATTCAAGGTGTTGGTTACCACCTTTAAAGCGCTCCATGGCATAGGACCCGGGTACCTTCGAGACCGTCTTCTGCCACCAATAGCCTCCTACAGGCCAGTCCGCTCCCACAGAGAGGGTCTCCTCAGGGTGCCATCGGCCAAGTTATGTCGGCTGGCGACACCCAGGGGGAGGGCCTTCTCTGTGGGAGCCCCAGCCCTGTGGAATGAACTGCCCCCGGAAATTCGTAAGATTTCTGACCTCCGGATATTTCGCTGCGCACTCAAGACCCTATTGTTCCGCCAGGCTGGGTTAGCAATATAATTTTAAATTGGATGTTTTAAATTTTTGGGGTTTTAAATTAAGCCAAATTTATTTAATATTTTTAAATTATTTTAAATTGATGTTTATTCTGTTTTTAATTAGGCTGTATACCGCCCTGAGTCCTTCGGGAGAAGGGTGGTATAGAAATAAAATTATTATTATTATTATTATTATTATTATTATTATTATTATTATTATTATTATTAAACTGCTGATTTTCAAATTTGCAAGCTACTTATATGAGTTTTCAGATTTTGCCTAGAGAGGCTTGTGCTGATTAGGACAGTGGTTTTTTTTTTAAAAGAGGTTTTAAATCTAAATTGCCTCCAGAAGTTGTGGGTGCCCCATCACTGGAGGCTTTTAAGAAGAGACTGGATAAGGCATTTATCAGAAATACTCTTGTGAGAGCAGTAGGTTGGACTAGATGACCTCAAGGTCCCTTCCATCTCTGTTACTATTGCAAGCGGAGTTCTGTAAAACCCCTCCTCCATCTCCCGCTGGCTAGAGACTGTTAAGCTAAGAGGCAGGTCGTGTTTTTTTTAAGCAACTGCAGTGGAAAGTTCTGTAAATTACTGCCCCACCCCAATTCTGGGCAGCTGTCTGAAGATGCTTCAGCAAATGGGTTTTTTTGTAAACTTGAAACGGAGCTGCTTGGAGGCAATTTAGTTCCTCCTTCGGCAGTACCGGAAACAGCTGATCAGTGGAGGCAGAAACAGCTGATTGGTGGCAGGCTGGAAGTAAGTCAGATCTTCATTTATTTAACAAGCCATTTGATTCAATTAATGAATTTAATTTTAAAAATTTGTAAAATTGGTCTGATACATTTGGTAAATTTTTTGACTTATGAACCTAATGGGCAGGCTCCATTAGGTCCATTAGAGAGGTAACAGCTAAGTGGACCAAAAACATTTTAACTAATACTTTATTTATTAAATTCATATGTCTCCTCCCCTCACCAATAAGGTGACTCAAGCAGCATATAAATTTAATAAATTTTATATTAAGTTTTAGTCAATATATTCTATGTTCAAATGATTTAAAACAATAAAAAAAATTGAAATGGGAAACTAATATAAAAGTGCAGAGACTTGTACAAACAGGAGTCAACACTGATTCAAAGGCACAAAATATACAGATAATAATAATAATAATAATAATAATAATAATAATAATAATAATTTATATTTCTATACCGCCTTTCTCCCGTAGGACTCAAGGCGGTATACAGTCAAGAAAAATAAATACCCCTATCTCAGGTTTCTGGGTACTTTTATAGTTTTTATAATTTTAAACATTATATAAAGCAGCCAATTGCGCATCGAATGAAAGTCTAAAAAAGGCAGCCCAAATCACCATTACCCACTTAAATGAAAGATTTGTTTCATTATGAAGGCCAACAAGAAAGGGAACCAGTTGTTCAAAAGTCTTGAGACTCCCATGGAAAGAGACTGCTCCCAGGTCCAAACCTAAACAGCATTTCACAAAAGAAGCAATTTAAAGAGGAAAGTCAAATAACCCAGTTTCCCACTGTACTGTTTTATTTATAGATGATGAGTAGTACTCTGAATTGGGCTTGGCGCTTATCGTTCACTAGTACAAGGACCATGTAAGTGTTATCATGGAAAAGTGAAATTTAAATAAATTAAAGTAATAGCTGATACATACCCTTTTTCTTAATTTTCCAACTTCATTGTCGATTTCCGAATATTTATTCTTTATTTCTCCATGTAAGCTGATTTGAGATGAACTTTCTCCACTCTCATAACCTTTTAACTTCTTTTTGGTTATTTTTAGAACTTTTTTTATACTGCAAAAAAAAAAAAAAAAAAATTACTGCAATTGTTTAAAGTATACTATAGATGTTATTTTTGCTGCACAATTCTACCAGGCTGAATGAGTGGAAAGAATTTGAAAAATAATGATTTGCTATTTCTTAGAACTTGTTCATTACTCTACAAATAGCAATTTTAAAATGACCAAAATTTCAATTTAACATTGTTTTTCTGATACTATAGATGCATGAATTAATTAATAATTCACATAATAGTTTGCACTGCTAAAGCATACAATGTTATCTTCATGTTTCTATCAACTGTAATGTTATATTCTTTCATCTATTTTGCAGCAAAACTGCTATTATTTCCATTGTAGTTAATTCCTTTGGGGATTTTAATTTTATTAATGTATAATTCAGTATGTCTTCATTTCTTTTTTAACACCATGCATTTGTTGCTCCTTGCTTAACAACCAGTCGAAGTTTCAAAAAAGTCCCCAAAAGTTACTTATCACCCCTCCTCAAAGTTATGATTGGCACACCCCATTGCAGTCACATGATCACATTTTGGGTATTTGACCCCCTATCATATTTACAACCACCTGTAGCATACCATGGTCATGTGACCATTATTTGCAATGTTTTTTGCTGCTTTCCATCAAAAAAAAAGAAAAAACTATTTGGGGGAATGGATTTGCTTAACAAACATGATTCACTTAACTAACATAGTGACTCACTTTATGACCATTGTAAAATCAAGTCAGGTCATGTATTGCACCGCTTAATGACTGGGCTCAATTGTGGCTGTTAAGTGAGGACAATGAGTAGTTCTTGATGACCACAATTGGGACTGGAACCGTCACTAAGTGATGCAGCCTTTAAGTGAGTTGTGTCCAGTTTTACAACTGTTTTACTATGGTCTTTAAACAAATTCACCCATTTAATTTGCTTTTCAGAAGTCCCGTGGGAAGATCATAAATTGTGGTCACATAACCCATGGACACTGCAAGTACTGTAAATGCATGCTGGTTGCCAAGCACTCAAGTTTATCATAAGCCCAGGAGCATTGCCAAAGCTGAAAATGCAAGAACTGGTAATTAGTCACTGCTTTCAGGTCCTTTGTAACTTTGAACAGTTGTTAAACAAATGGTTATAGTACAAAGACTACTTGCACCTATATTATAAATCAAGAGGTAGTGCATAACATGCAGGAAAAACAGGTCACAGAAACAGGGATATTAGCTTTTATACGTAAGATTATTTCATTATAGCAATGTTAAATATTTAAAATAAAAATTCTATACACAGAAAGCATCTTTACAATAAAAAGTTACCCATGATATTCTTTTTGTAATTCACTGTTCCTTTTCATTTCTTGATCTAGTCGCATTTCCACTGATCGCTTTAATTCTAGTACCTTCTTTACTTTTTTCTTTTCATTCTCAAACTAAAAGAATAAGAACATAATTTCCAGACTTGACAACATTTTAAACAGCATACATTTTAATGCACAGATAAATCTGTGATGGTATTCCACTTTCACTTTGAGCTTTGTGAAATAAAATGACTATATTGAAATATATTTTATTTCTTGGCATACATATTTATTTCCATAATTTTCAAAATTACAGTTTTATTAAAACCCTGCTACTCTGCCCAGATTTTAAATGAGCATCCTGATGCTATAGTGCAGCAGCAATCTCTGAGAAAGTTCCAGTGTTGGTAAAACTTTCTGCTAAGAAGCTGAAGCATGTACTATGAAAAAATAAGGTAATTTGGAACAAAGTTTTGGGTTTTCATAAGCTTTTCAATTAAATTTTTGAACCACACTTATCTGTGAAGGCTAACAGCATGCCAAACCATGTCAAAAAGGATTGAAATCTCTTTCATTGTCAATCAGTAACCCTTGAGATCAAATTACTAAAGATTGTTGCAATCACAAAGTTTTAGGAACTACAGGTATCTTGAGAATTGAAACAGGTCTTAGTTTTATTTTTGCTTCATCTAGCTCTTGTCCTAAATAATTTTGTGACCTTCTTTTGCAAGCTGCAGTTGCACAATGACTTGGTCAGCTTATTGAAATATGTTATGTCAGAGGCACTTAGACATCTGTCTCAAGTCCAGCAATTTCTTTTACACTTATTTATAAAATTCACAAATTATAATATTTTATCAAATATGTAGATTTCATCATTCTGGTTCAAAACTGCAAAATTCAGGCATCATCATCATCTTCTTTTCACGACCCCATAATCCCTTGCGGGGTGGAGTCTGGGCAACTGAATGGAGCTAGTAGAGTGTTTTAATGGCTAGATGCCCTTCCTGTTGCCAAAGTTTTGCAAAATTCAGGCATCTAGACCTTTATTTATTTATTTTCTTTATTTGATTTAAAGTTAAGAATTTAAAGGAGTCTAGCTCAAAAGCCCCTATATTATTTTTTTCTTTGCTTTGTTAGCATCTTTGTCTTTGGGAGAACTCACAAAGGATAACGGGTAAAAAGAACTTTACTCAACTTTTTTCAGTTCCTACCGAAGTAAAAATAGTTTTTCTACTGTATTTATCTGAACCTTATGAAATATTGTTTTATTTATTTATGATCTTTCAAAATTCTTAGTACAAATTTATTATTTAAATAGCTAGCAGGATTTAAAAATACTGCTTCCTAAAAGCATTGTGAATCTATCAGTTAGATCAATTAGGCAGGATAAGCAGATAATATAAAAACATTAAAAAACCCTCATCTGCGCCATTAAAATCCATGCCCACTATAAAATCTATGAGACAAAAGACTTACAGCATGATGTTCCACATCTGAATCAGTTACGACTGCTTCTCTCATCCAAATAACTTCTGGTTCTGATCTCATACATAATGAAATCCTTAACGAATTCTGAATCCAAGATATTTAAGGCTTATTGATTGTTTATTGATTCCAGGAGCTCATATGAATGCTTTATTTCTTCAATTTTCCTTGTGAGGTAGTTTGAACTGAGTGACTTAGTGACTGGTCTAAAGCACCAAGACTCAGTGAGTTTCCCATGGCTGAATGTAGACTTAAACTTGCTCTCCCTAGTCTGAGTCTGATACCTCAACCATAATACCAATTGTTTCTTCATCATTTATAACACAATGAATTGTTGATACTGAACCTACCTGAGATATTAGTTCTGTCTTTTCCTTATCAAGCTCAGAAAGGCGAATCCCAAGTTTTGATTTTAATTTCAGTTCTTCTTCCCACAAATTCTGAGCATCTTGTGCAGTTACTGAAAGCATATTTTCCTTCTGGACCTGAGGAGAAATTGAATTGCTTCTGAATAAAAATCATTATAAAGGAGCCCTTGAAATAGCCAAGAAACCTTTATGTAGATACCGAATTTAATTCAGATGACAAAGATCAGATTTCTGTGTGGAAATGGCAGATTGAAGACAGCGCCAATGACCATGGTAAATGAAGAGCCAACAAGTATACTGCCTCTGTAATTCTTTTCCAGACAAGCAGAAGACTTAAGGTTATCCACAAATGCTCCAGACTGTTGGATTTACAGCTCTGGGAGACAAGGTTATAGCCATCTTGCTCAAAACACAGTCAGACTCTTTAAAAGGAGACTGGGTTGGTATTCTTTCTTTCCTAAAATTTGTTATATTTCTAATACAAAAGCAGGATTCACACCCACAGCTGTTTAGTCCGTGTTTGAAATCCATTTCAAATGCTATTATTCATATTTTCTTTACATCTTTATTGCTAATTTGACATATCAATGGCTGCATAAATGATAGCATCATTTATGAAGTACATTCTTATTCTCAGAAGAGAACAGTATTAAGCAAAGATACAATAGGCTCTTAAGAAAATCCACACTTTAAGCACGCATGCCTATTCAAAGACATCCACAGAATCAAAGATTTTCATTAAAATAATAAAATAAGTATCATGTCATAAAGTCTCCTTCTTTTGTATCTCCACATATATTACTGTTACATTTCTGTAAATATAAATAATCATATAGGTTATATATGATTTTATAAAATGTGTCCATAGCACAATATAAGGCTGTGTTTGAGCATAATTAACATTAAACCCTGCCTAGAATTAAACTTTATCCAGTACCAACTGCCATCTAAAGCCATTAGAAAGCAATTCACACTTTTTGACAAAACTACAAGCCTTAAATGTGACTCCTGAGGAGATCATGGTCTCCTCCTTTGACATAGTGTCCCTATTTACATCTCTCACTTAGCATACAAAGTAAAAGATAAAAAAACTAGAAGAGTACAACACAGATCAGAACAATGTAACCAGGACACAAATCATGAACTACTCCAGTACTGCCAACATATTTCTTCATATTCAAAAGGGAAATGTATGAGCAAATAAAAAGGACACCCAGGGGATCCCCAATATCAGGACTCATTGCAGAACCTGTCCTACATGAACTAGAACACCGTGGCTGCACAAGAAAGCAACAGCCAATCGTCAGCTACTCACACACCAATCAACCAATAGGAAGGCAACACATAAATATGATGCATAGAATAGCCCAAAGTACACATTCCAGTAGAGAAAAATTCCCTGAGGTTGGGCTCTAGCATAAATCTGAAGCTTGGAACACTAACCCTCTGGTCCCGGTGACCAACCCCGATTGGATCTTGCAGCAATTCACGCTGCTTGAAATGTTTCATTTGGCTATGCTACAGTCTAGTAATGATAAAAACAAAATACTTTCTCAAATATTTATGATCTTTTTATTCACATTATTGTTTTTACAGCTGCAATATTTATATCTAATAGTAACAATTATATTGCAAAATATTCCATTAGTCATAATTAGTTTCAGAACACCAATAGCTCTCAAAGTGAATACATTTTGGCAAATTATCAATAATAATACCAAATTTCCACTTATATTTTTATTTGTTTGACCATCAACTAAATAGGATCAGACCTGATTAGTGTTTGGAATGGGAGGTCGCAAAAAAAATCCCTGAATTACAGGTAGTCCTATATTTATGACTGGTTGTTTAATGACCATTCAGAGTTATGACAGTCTCAGAATGAGTGCTTGTCTGGAGGTTCTAGGGAAGTGCAGCTATTATATAACTTTGACAAAGATCGGTATACTTGTTCTATCTGGGATGGTTGTCTTCTTCTACCAAGCTTGGGAGGGGTGCACATGGAGCAATGAGGGAGGAAGACGATACTCGACTATCCAGACAGATCAGCCAAATCAACCCTGGTAATCAATGGGGTGACAGATATTGCAGCCAGATCCCTCTCACATCCAAATGGGTGTTTTATGGTCCAATGATTTGTGATATCTTTTGCAAGTTTTTGTACAGTACAATTGATTTCGACTTCCAAATGCATGGCTTGCTTAATGACTCAATGATTTGCTTAATGGCTGCCATAAAAATGATTGTAAAATTGGGTCTGGGCACATGGTGCCTTGACTTATGACCATCAAGACTTACACCCAAAATTCACTTCCAGGGAACATAGCTAACTGAACATACACCTGGGGAGAGATCTTCAATGGATTTCCTTCTAACTGAAGGGACTGATATCCCATCAGCTTTTATGACCCACCCAGCCAGGGTGTGTTGAAGAACTTCCCCTCACAACCCTTCAATACAGCTGTAAGCCAGCAAACAGTTTCTGAAGTTGAACTCCAAAGCTATCTACATGCCAAAAGCTGCAATCTGTTTCGGGGTTGAAGAAGCCGTCATTTTGAAATTCACCTTTCAAACGGACAGTAAGTTAAGCCTACCTCTTCTTAATCACCTTCAACAATTATTATTCTATCTTAAGCCAATTTAAAAGAGGCTCTTTCTAGCAACAGCCTGCTATTTTTTGAAGATCCACGATATTTTAGGGATCTCTTTTTGTCTCAAAGAACAAGGAAGAAGGCTGCTAACGCAAGCCAAATAAGGAAGTGTGCTGAGGGGAAAAAAAAGCTGACAGAAAGATAAAGATTGAAAGTGGTGATTTTAGTTTACTATTGTAGTAACTGGTAGCTTGATCTTCTTACCTGTGGATGGCTAAAATCTTCTGATTCTGACTAAAAGAGGAAGCCAAGTTGGTGGTGCAAAGTATTAGAGATACTTTGAGATTGGAGAAAAAGAAAGGAGTACAAGTCTTTGATACTTCCAGAGAAGAAAAAGATTTACTCCATGAAGATAAGCTGGAAGGAGTGACTTAAACTTAATGAATTAACTGAAATCAGGTTTCTCTGTCTGATATGTACAGCTGAAAGGTCTGACCCAAAATTTGAAAATGTATTTTTTTACATACATACATACATACATATGCATATATATATACACACATATACATACATACATACATACATACATATACATATATAAATAAAATGCTTAAGTAACTAGGCAAAGCTATTGAAAATGTATTTGAGAGTACCTGTATTAAGAGAAAGTTAAAGAAAATGATGTACCAGTTTAAAGAAAAACTCTATGTTAAAAAGGATGTTTATAAAAGAAAAAATATATTCTATAAGGGTAGTTTGGAGGGAGGGAGCTAAATCCAATACTGAACTTCAAAGCTTGTATGTTAGGAAGTCAAAGAAAAAGATGTATTAGAAAGTTTTGATTTTTAAAAAAGTGGGGTTTTTTGTTTTTAAAAAGTTTAGTACTTTGAAGAAAAAAAAGGGATGAAAGAAAAGCCCCCCCCCTTTTTTTTCAGTAAGGCCAAAGAATTTGACAGAATACAATAAATTCTATAAATGAAAATGGTGACAATTCACAAAGATTACTAGGTGCAAATAGAAATACACATTATTTCCATAGCAAGGAAGATAAAGCAGGAATGGTTAAATTGACTATTTAAAGAGGAAATTATGTTCTTATTTGGATATCACTTCTGGAATTTGTGTTTGTGAAGAAAAAAAAAAAAGAAACTCTGACTTTGGTTTTGTTGATTAGAAAGATTTGGTGTTATAGAAATGGCTTGTTATATATTAATGTTTAAAAGCAAAAAGATGAAGTTGGAGTGTGTTTATTTTGTACTGTGCCAGGAAGAGTTGGAAATCAATGTCCCCTTTTCTTTCTTTTTCTCTTCCCCCTTGTATCTCACACACCCCTTTCCCCGTTCCCTCTCTTAATTTCCTATTTTCTTTTCTTCTTTGTATTTTATATAATAAAGTAAAAAATGAAAAATGTTAAAAGAGTTACACCCAAAATTCCAACCTAAATTGCAATCATAATTCAAGGACTATCTATACTGTATAGGCTAGAATATGAAATTGGAAAACATGCTGAAAGAAGGCAATGACAAACTATTTTAATGCCACAAAAATTTATATGGACATACCCATAAAAACTTCAAAGATAGTATCAACTGAAAAGAGAATTTTCATCTCAATTTTCCAAGGCTAATAAGTTTTAGTGAATACAAAATAAAACTATTAAGAAACTATGTTTCACGTCACTGATTTTCCACTTTAAGACTTGCTTTCAAAACAAAAAAAAAATGTAATTTACAAGTTTACAAGAATGTAATTTAAAAACTCTCAAGTCCTAAAAGAGATTTTTAAGAGTTTCAAATAGTAAAGTGACTCTAAGAAGAATATTTAATTAATAATCACAATTAAAACAATAATAAAATAACACTGATTGGCTGTTTTCTTCCATATATGATTACATTCAGTTCTGAATATGCTACATTAGCTATATCATTCTCTCAGAAATAATTGATAATTAACTATATGGACACCTTTATTCTCCCTTTATTCTGCAATGTCCTTATACAAAAATGCTTGGCCGGGTGGTTGGACTAGATAACCTACAAGGTCCACTCCAATACTGTTAATCTATTTTTAAAAAAAGCAAGAGCACCAAAGCTCTCAAGAGTCCAAATATCACTAACTTTTGTTTCCTGCACTCATTCACACATTATTACTGTAAGAATCTTCTTTCAATTTACTTTAGTTCCCTGTATTTGTGAATAAAACTGGCTATACTTTATGTCCACGAGACACCCAAACTGCACAGCCAGTGGAGTTCTCTTAAACTGCCTGATAGCTATGATTCTTTCTTGTGCAATATATAAAGATTAACAGAAATCAAAGGGAATGATCTACAAGTGAAATGTGTTGATGATCTTATATGTGAATTATCCTTGTCTCGAAAATATTGCTGATCGTATCATTTTTATGAAAATAAGCAGAATACCTGGTGGTTTAGTTGTTCCTCTAGATTGATTTTTGCTGTCTGTAAACTGGTTATCAATTCCTCAAGACGATTATGAACCTAGATCACCACAAAAGAAATCAAGAGTCATTATGCAAGTTGCAAAAGTCTTCAGTCTTCAGAAATTCTCTAAAAATCTATTTTGTTTTTTAGATTCCTTACTATTGTTACATTCATGATTTCAATAATTTCAATTATTTTATTTATGACTTCTGAAAATGAAGGAAACTAATTCAGTATGCTATAATAGCTGTCTGAAATATTACATTTTAAAAATTATAAAAAACAATAAAGGAATTAAATATGAAATCTTATTTCCCAAAAATATTACGGCTGACTTACAGAAACACTATCCTGTAGGTCTTTTTGAAGTATCTCAATTCTATTACTTTGCTGGTTTGTTGTAGCTTCCAATCTGGCATTTTCTATTTCAAGTCTTAAAAGAAAAACATATAGTCTCAAAACAGGATACAATGCAACTATATTTCTTCCTTTTTATATGTTTCAATGATTCTATAACATATGGAAGTATAAATTGCAGAATATTTTTTTATCAATTCTCATAATTTAGTACATTTAAATTTCAGCATATTTTACCTCTGTATGTGCTCTTCTAATTGTTTTATAGCATTATTTGTTCCTGATGATGCTACCAGAAGATCCTGTAGTTTCTGAGATGCCGCATTTGCTTCACGTTCCTTAATATCCAAAGCATGTCTTAATTCATGAGTAGATCTTTCACACTGGATAGTCTGTACTTCTGAATCTTGCAACTGTAAAATTTGAGAATTTGAATGTAGCTTAGCCAAAAAATAGGTGCAATGTGCTCCTGCTATGATATACCCTACCACAGCCTAGTCACCTCATCCTAGACTCCTGAAGTTTCTAAATCTCCTTCAAAAACATCTCTATAAAGAGCACATTGCAGTAATTTTACTAGGAATTAACTAGTTGATATATAATAGAAGCAAGATATTTTGTTTCACATACTATGAAACATCATGAACAAATGCCAAATAGGGACTTTTTGTCAAAGAGCAGATCTACAACTGATCCTTTGAAGGAAGAACAAAACAGGAAAAGTCCCTCCCCATTTGCTGAGATTTCCTCCAACCAGAATGTCTTCAATCTAGCCCAAGCAGCAACTCAATAAACTCAGCATCCTTGATGACGGAAAGAAGAAACCTGAATGTTATCTGCATAGAGAAGGCACCCAGATTATAGGCACCTATAATCTTTGATAATAATTAATGCACCGATTACATACAGAGGTTGAGTAGCCTGGAGGACACCATAACCTTTATGCATCCCACAGTATAAGTGCCAGAGAGCTGAATGATATTCAACTTTCTGGAAGGTATTCTCAATGTAGGAAGAGAACCATGGCAAAACTATTTCAAACACTAATACATCAGAAAGTGTTGGATGTCATCTCTTCTGCTCCCATAGTAGAAGATATAAAGCATTTAATAAACTGTTACAAGCATACCTTACATTTCATCCTTTCTATTTCCTTCAGAAATTGCTGTTTATCCTCCTCCAAGTCAATACGATAACGTGTTGAAACTTCCAATGAAGCTTCTGTCATGGATTGCTTTTTGAGGGAATCTGCAAGTTCTTGCTGCAATTGCCTTATTGTACTCTAAAAAGATTTTTAATGAAATAATTCATACAAAATAGACTGAAATGGTTGCATTTTAATTTATCTAAGTAATATTTATAATAGGTAAAAATGTTCAATGACATATATTTATAGGAGTTTATGCATTTATGTATATGTCTCTATGTTCATATATACCATACGCAAGTAGTTTTCTTTCCTGACCAATATCAACCGAAGCAATGAACAATTTACTAGCAGAAGGAATGCAAAATTATTTAATAACTTTGAAGTGTGCTTAATTGTACATATACCATCTAATAGTTGTGCTGTAAAACAGCAATATTTCACTTCCTTATAAAGTCCCTCATTACCATATTCAATTAATATAGTGTCTCCAAGGGAAAATTAAGCTTAGTTTACAAATCTGTATCCTGAAAAATGATTACATTGATGGAACTGACAGAACATAAATCATACTTACCTCTCTGTCTATTTTCTCAGATTCATATTTAATGACTTGGTCCTTTAAATTATTACATTTTGTGATTAATTCTTTATTTCTCTCTTCCATCATCTGAACTTGCTTTTCAGTATCAGCTCTGAGCTTATTAAAAATATCACTGAATTTATCTTGAACATCAGTCACTGCTTTTTCTTTGATAATGCCCTTGTTCTGAAAATCTTCAAGCTGTTGTCGAAGTAAGAGATTTTCACTTTGGACCTGTGCTAGACGTTCTTGCATAGATTCCTGTTTTATTACATATTTGCTTATTTGATCCTTTGCAACTTGTTGTGCATTTTCAAGTTCTTTCAGTTGGCATTGTGACTGGTTTAGATCTCTTTGAATACTATCTAACAGCAAGTTCTTTTCCCGGAGACTGTGGGTTGCATGGTGAAGTTCATTTTCTAGACTATTAGCTTTACTTTCAGCTTTCCCTAACTGTTGAGACAAGACACTGTTTGTTTCTCGTACAGTACATACATCGTGATTTAATTTGTCTTTTAAGCGGAGCCATTCATCCCTCTCTCGCTGAAGCAATCGTTCAAGATCACTTTTTGATACCTGACAACGATCAAGTTCCTGAAGAGCAGAACTCAAACGAGAACGTAGTGAATCAAGTTCTATTTCCAACCTTTCTTTATTTTCCTTGAAATGTTCCAATTTGGATGCTACCATTGCAACCTCAGTTTTTGATACATTTATTTGTCCATTGTATTGAAAAACTGTTTGAGTCAAAGCGTCTTCATTTAGTTTCAGTTCTTTTTTAAGTTCTTCATTTTTTTCTTTCAAACTTTCATTTTCTTCCAAATATTTGCTTTCATACTCCTGATGCTGAATCCTGATGTGATCAAGTTCTAATTTTAATACAGCAAGTTCATCTTGGAGTATTTGATTTCTGTGTAATAATTCTTTTTCATGGTCATGATTATCAATGATCTGAATATTTAATAAGCAGAAGAATAACAAATAAATAAATTCATAAAATCCAGAGATGTAAGCTACATTCTAGGAGATCAATCAATCAACAGATAACACTCAGAATATCTAAACATTACTTCAGAAATGGACACATTACGTCTCTCATGAGTTCCTAAGAGAGACCATGTGGAAGGTGTTGCTACACGTGCATCCTGATTGTGGCTTTCCAATCATTCATCAAACACACTGAGAACAAAAATCTGGTAGCTTTTGTCTGAACAATAATTACTTTTCATTCTAATAGAGCATAACAGATGTGTGATAATATGACAACTATGTATTTTCTTTTCAAAATAGTATGCGCCTTTCAAATTTTCTTAATTTTAATCAAGCTTAGTCTACCATAGAGATCATTTAAAGAGAAAAGGTTTATAGCAACTTAAAAAACCCTCTCAATTTCTTAACCAAAATTTAATTAGAAATCACATTTATTAAGTTTATTTATAAACCACACTTCTATAGCCACCCACCTTATAGTCTGTCTATAGAACTTGAGAGAGAATTGAACTAACAAAAATAAGAAACAAATTCCATACTGTGCCTTTTTCTTTAATGTTTATGTAAAATGTGTTCCTTGCAGATTATGCTCACAAAGTTTTAAATATAGTTAATTCACAATTTATGACCACTCATTCAGCAATGGGTTGATGTTATCCTGGTGGTAAACGAAAGTCTTATAACCCATGACTGAATTTATGGCCATCACAGTGCCCTATGTGATTGTAATCTGAGTACTTCACAACCTGTTCACAGAGGAAGTTGGCAGGGAAAGTTGTAAACCACCACCATCTGCTGGGACAACTCTTTCTCTTTCTCAAGATCTCTCGGGGCTGGTTGAAAAAAATCATGCAGAAATCCAAGTAGGATTTTCAGCCACAGAGCGAAAAGGCTTCTAAAATCTTTCTGCTTTCTGGCTGAAAATCTTGCTTGGATTTTGGCATGAAGGATTTTCAGTCCTAATAGTCTTGCCTTTCTGCTTAGGGGCTGAAAATCCTCTATGCCAATAGAAGCAGGATTTTCAGCCATTGGAAAATTTTAAGCTCCAGAATTGAGAGGTTTCAGAAACCTTTCAATTCAGTGCTGAAAATCCAAATGGCTCTTAGGTCCAACATTCCCATGTACTTCCTCACTCTATACTCCTCTTGCCAGTTCCTGGGGCTTCCAACTTTCTGCTGGCTTCCCCACTGACTTGATTGTAGAAAGCCGGCAGGCAGTTGACTCATCTAACAAACAGACGTTCAGTTAATGACAGCAATCAGGACTGCTGGATTGCTGCTGCTAAAAAAAAGCAGTCGCATTTACAACCGTACCACTTAATGATGCAAATTCCTGTCTCAACCATGGTCAAAAGTCGAGGATGAGGATAAATATTTTTTTAAATTGAAAAATGACTAAAATGGACTCTAAGGTAAGAAAACGTCTCCTTTGAGTCACTTGACTCCAAATAAATTCATGGTGTCATCCATGAATTATCCTTGCAATAATTTGAAAAAATATTTGCCACTGTTGTCTACAAAGATGTTTTATAATTCGCTAATCTAGTCTATTGTTAATATTTCCTGAGAATCTCCCACCCAAAGATTCACCAAACTTGACTCAGCTTGTGTTGCAAAACTGAACAAATTCAGCCACTTCTTCTATCTAATGAGGCCATAAAATGAACAGCTGCTCTCTGAATAAAAAATACTTTTCTTACAAATATTGTTCTCTAAAATAAATACATCGTCAAAAAAATGTAAAGGAAGATCTTATGTATAAACAAATGTATAAACAGTACTTAGTTATTAATACTGATTCTTCCTGAATCACAGGTTTTAAATCTACATCATAGTTTAAGATTTAATTACTGGTTTATAAAAGTATGTCCTTACTTACTTAATATATTGAAGATAGTTTACCATTTCCTCTCTCCCATACATGCATACAAATATATAAATATAAGGGCAAAATTCCTAAATAATTATCAATTAAATAGAACCTATCAATAATACAGTCCCATCTCCTTTAGGGGCCATACATTTTGTGGTGAAAAAATTTCTCTGAGCCTTCATAACAGCCAATAAATTGGAAAGATGACATACTTCAAGCAGCAAGGTGTTCCAGAGCATGGAACAGGCACTTCGAAGGCCTCCAACCCCTTCCCCTCACATAGAATGACAATCCTTAGCATCTCTTCTCTGGACATACAAACAGGATGGGTTGAAATTGAGAGAGAGAGATAATTCCATCCAATATAATATCTAGTAGCTAAACCACAAGTGCTTTACAGGTAATGACCAGAACTTTGATTTGTAGCCAATGAAACTGAAAATAGTTTTATATATTTAAAATATTTGTCAAAGCGGATACCTCTGAGTGTTTAGTTGCTACTTTTTTTGATTCTTCTTCCAATTCCTTCTGCCTCCAGAAGTGGGTATTTAAAATATCTTCTTGTATGGCTCTGGCATTTTGTTCTTGACAAAGTTGTCTCTGTGTTTCATTACGTTCTTCTTCAACCTATAAAATATCAGCCTTGTAGTAAAGTAACAAACTGACCAGTTTGTTATGATCTGACAGATTGTGCCTGTGTATACAGCCACAACTATAACGAATAGAAGTTGTAGTGTATCAGAGAATACAATATGTGTTAAATAGATACTAATAGTTAAACATATGTAAAGTAATTACTAGGAACATTAGAAACACTGTTACTAAAAAGTCATTTTGGCAGCAATATGTTAGTAATTATCTACAGCTGAATAAAATATATGGATTTGAATTTCTCTAATCACTTTAGACCTGGTGCTATTCTATACAGGTTCATTATGAACAGTTTTCTTAACCATCAAGTAATTGATTCATGTTAAAAATTTGGGTAAAACTAAGTAATTGAGTAATTGATAAGGACTAATATTACATTTTCTGAAATAAAATATTAGTTTCAATTTATGTAGCATTTAAATGAAAAAACACAGCCTTGTGAGATTCTTTTCTGAAAGTATTTATTCTACTGAATAATTCACCAAAGAAATGAAAATATTGTATACTTATTGTTAGAAGCCAAGATACTAAATACTTGGATGAAAGCAAACATCACTTTAACACTAAAGTAAGATTCAGATTTAACGCAGATAAAAAATTATAGGCCAATATCATTACTAAATGCAGACTATAAAATATATTCCTCAATAATAGCAGAGAGACTAAAAAGATTCTTGAATGAATTTATACACTCAGACCAGAATGGATTTTTACTTAAAACAATACTTAAAATACCTTTACTTAAAAACAATATGAGAATTATTTTGAATATGTTGGAGTATTATGTACATTCTGAAAAACAAATGGCGTTGATCTTTTTATTTATTTTTTTATTAAAAATTTTTAAATTTTTTTACAAATGTTTTCCCATCCTACCTCCCCCCTCCCTCCCCAACCCTCCCCCCCCGACTTCCCAGAGCAAAATACAGGGTATAGCATTTAACAATCATATATTAACATATGCTAATTATCTATAGACTCCTATCTCCCTCTTGTACTTTTAACTCCCCTTTTACATGACTAAATTTTAATACTTTCTAAAGTCTCTTTATTCATTCATAAACTATTTGAAACTTTTTAATCCTATATTTGTTTTGAATATAGTCAATCCATCTTCTCCATTCCAAAATATATCTTTCATATGAATGGTCCTTCAAATACGCTGAAATTTTGGCCATCTCTGCTAAGTTCACTACTTTTAGTGTCCATTCTTTAATAGTAGGCAAATCTTCCTTCTTCCAATACTGCACCACCAAAAGTCTTGCTGCGGTTATTAAATTTAAAATCAAATTAGTCTCTATAACCATACAATCTGTAATTATATCCAGCAAGAACAGCTGTGGAGTAAACTTTATCTTCTTTTTAAGAATATTTTGCATAATCCACCATATTTTTATCCAAAATGCTTTGATTTTTTTGCATGTCCACCATATATGATAATACGTGGCATCATCACACTCACATCTCCAACACTTGGATTGCAAGCTTGGATACATACAAGCTAACTTTTTAGGATCTAGATGCCATCTATAAAACACTTTGTAAAAATTTTCTCTCAAGTTTTGGGCTTGTGTAAATTTTACATTTCTAACCCATATTTTTTCCCATGTTTCCATCATTATTGGCTCCTCAATATTTTGTGCCCATTTTATCATACAATCTTTAACTAACTCCGTTTCTGAATCTATTTCTATCAATGTGTAGTGTTGATCTTTTTAGATGCACAGAAAGTATTTGACAATGTCAATTGGCAATTTATGTCACTACAATTAAAATATATGAACTTTGGTGAAAAATTTACTAATATGATTAAGGCAATATATTCTAAACAAACTGCAAAGCTGATGGTTTATGGGGACATGACAGAGAATTTTAATATAAGGAAAGGCACAAGACAAGGATGCCCTTTTCCCCTCTACTATTTATATTAACATTGGAAGTGTTAAACAGAAATATTAGGCAAGATTCAGAAATAAAAGGCATGGAAATAAAAAAAAATAAAATAAAAACTACAGGCGTTTGCAGATGACCTGGTATTGATTTTAGAAGAACCACAAGAAATTGGACCCAAATTAATAAAAAAAAATAGAAGAATATGGTGAAGTTGCAGGATTGAAAATAAATAAAGAGAAAACCAAGATACTAGTGAAATTGTTTTACAGATAAACAAACAAACAAAAAAGAACTGATGAAGAAGACAGATATTCAGATAGTTAAGAAAGTAAATTACTTAGGAATTCAATTAACTATTAAAGAAAATAATTATACTAAGCTATTGCAATGGATTAAACTAGATCTGGAGAAGTGGAAAAACTTGCAATTATCAATGGTAGGAAGAATAGCTACAATAAAAATGAGTATCTTGCCGAGATTATTATTTTTGTTCCAAACAATTCCGATAACACTAGAAAAAAAATGTTAAAATATATTTGGGAAGGGAAAAGAGCAAGAATAAGATTGAAAATGCCACAAGACTCTAAAAACAAAGGGGGTTTTGGGTTGCCAGATTGGGAGCTATATTACCAGGTCTCTGTACTTACATGGGTGAAAAAATTGATAAATTTGAGGCATAAAAGATTATTAATTTTGGAGGGACATGATCTTCAACTGGGGTGGCATGCCTTTCTATGCTATGGGAAAAACAAAATACATAGATATTTCTAAAGACATTATGTTAGAAATGCTTTGCTGTTAGTATGGGGGAAAATCAAAGAAAAACATTATATGAAAATACTAGTCTGGCTCTCCACGATGGAGGCACTAATACATTCGAATGTTGTTAACCTGGAAAAAAATTACAAGATATAAAGACATTTTGAATGGAAAAGGAAGCAAGAATTGAAAAATCAAAGGATTGATCAAGCATGGTGGTTGCACGTGCAAATATAATCAAGGTATGAGAAAGATGTAAAAATGTATGGTTTTTATAAAGAACCAACAGCATTAGATCAGATACTACTAGGGGCAGATGAAAAACTAATTTAAAAAATGTATAGCTATCTATTGAGCATTAAAATGGAAGAAGAACAAGTGAAAGAAACAATGATAGTGTGGGCCAAAAACTTTGGGCATACTATAGAGTTAGATAAATGGCAGAAACTGTGGGATAAAAATTATAAATTAACAATGATTTAACAAAGAATTTCCTATAAGGAAAATCTATATAAAATATTTTATAGGTGACATTTTCCACCAGCAAGATTGGCAAAGATGCTTAAGGATATGTTTGCTAAGTACTATCACATGTGGTGGACATGCCCAAAGGCAAAAAAATACTGGACAAAAATACACACATGGTTGGAAAAAATAGTAAAATAACACATAGATTTAAAGTCAGAAATATTTTTGTTGGGTATTCTACCAGAAAAATATAATAAAGGGAATAATATTTAATTTTACATGTTTTAACAGCAGCGAGAATTGTTTTTGCACAACAATGGAAAAATGAAGAGATACCTACAGATGAAAGTGTAATAAAAAAATAGACTGTGCAGAGATGGATAGACTAACACTCAAAATAAAGAAGGAAGAAACAGAATACTTTTTAACATGGGACTTGTTTTACCAATGGTTAGTTAACAGAAACAGACATAAGAACCTTAAAAGTTTAAGAGAATGATTAACTATATAATGAAAGTTTACTAATATGAATAAGCTAATATTATATTACTATGTGATTATTTTCAATTATATGTATATTATTATTATTTTTCAAAACTAACTGTACTCAGACAACACACTGTCCATGTAGATATTGAGTTTTTATGTTTACTAAAGAAAGATGTATAAATAATATATATATATATATATATATATATATATATATATATAGTATACTGATTTTAGAACAAGCTTACCATTTGTCGAACAGCATTCACAAGGTTTAGTAAATCTTGAGGAGTTTTAGTACAACCTACATCTGTTGTACTTGGTGGGAAATTAATCTTCTTTAAATTATTTTCTTTCACAGGAGGCAAAGAAAAGGAAAAGCTAGGAAGCAAGCTTCCCTGATAACTATCAGGTATGTTTCTTCTGACCAAAGGATTATGAGTATTAGAGCTTCCCAAAGAAGGGCTGGAGAATGAAGAGATCAATTCCTGATTAGGATGATCAGAATTTTTCATTATATAAAAATCAGGATATCCTTGGTAGTTTGCATCATCCTCCATAGCTCCTCAATTATGATATTTCTATATATAATCTGAACAATTCATCGTTTTTAATAATTTGATTTGATGTTGCCCATATGATTTTTGAGCCTCCCGCATATTCTTCATTGTGCTACTCTACTAAGGCAGTTATTGCTCACTTTAACAGACACAATATTAAGCAAAAGATCCTCAAATTTGCTGCTTCCTCAATATCAAAAGAAGAAACGGACAAAAAAATTATTAAATTTGAATTTGTGCAGATTATGCCCCTGCTATTGTTTGAGCGAAAACATTAGAACGTGGATAGAATCTGCAAAGCTACTTATTACATTATTGGCATATCCAATCTCCTTGCTTCAGCTGACATCATAAACAACATAATGTCTCTACGTAATTATGAGGTCACTAAAATTCTTTTAAGTCTATTTTCTTTTTGCTCTCAAAGCTTTTTCCTGATTATAAGCAAAATGCATAAAATATCTGTATTTTCAAATTAAAAAATGTTTAATTTTTAATTATAACTTTTCTAAAGGGGAAAAAAGAATTAAAATGAAGTGCCTACTTAATTTTCAGCTACTGGATATCTGAAAGAAATGTTAAATAGCAGATCAAAATGTTTATATAATGGATGAGTATTAATTTGTAGCAAAATCAGAAGTATGCAGTTCAGTTCTATGATTGTTATTTTTTCCACATAATATACAATTTCTAAATATTCTAGTTCCTTCCAAAAAAAAACTTGAAAAAGCAACAAGTCAGATCAAATTGGCGGTTGGATCGGCCTCCTGGAATACTGCCGATCAGCTGCTCTAGGTGGCAGGGATCGCTGCCACTGCCTATCACCGCCTGTTTGCTGCCAATTGGCAGCAAATGGGTGATGGCGGCAATCGGGCAGCAGCGAATGGGTGGCAGCAGTGAACGGTAGTGATAGGCGGTGGCAATCCCTGTCACCTAGAACAGCTGATTGGTGGTATTATGGGAGGCCGATCCAACCACCAATCAGCCGCTCGGCAGCGAAGGCTCCAGTGTTCCTTGGCGGCAGCAGCAACTCAGCTCAGTTGACCGATAGTGGGCACAACGGAGTGGAGCCCTGACAAGCCACGTGCTGGGTCTGCGATAACGTGCTGAAGTTGACCAGGCTGTTTGTTTTAAGGATGCTAACTAGATGAATATTGGATAAATGCTGGGAGGCAGAGGCAGATTTTTTTTTTCTTGTTTTCTTGGCTATTGGGGGCGAATCACTCGCCCCCACGGAGAGGGCTCGTAACTTGGGCGTCCTCCTGGACGCACGGCTGTCGTTAGAAGATCATTTGGCGGCCGTGGCCAGGGGGGCTTTTTATCAGGTCCGCCTGATACGCCAGTTGCGCCCCTTTCTAGATCGGGACTCCCTACGCACAGTCACTCAGGCACTCGTCACTTCCCGCCTGGACTACTGCAACGCTCTCTACATGGGGCTCCCCCTGGGGTGCACCCGGAGGCTCCAGCTGGTCCAGAACGCGGCCGCGCGGGGGATTTTGGGGGCGACGAGGCGCTCCCACGTGACACCTCTCCTGCGCGAGCTGCACTGGCTCCCGGTGGTCTTCCGGGTGCGCTTCAAGGTGTTGGTGACCACCTTTAAAGCGCTCCATGGCTTAGGGCCGGGGTACTTACGAGACCGCCTTCTGCCACCAATAGCCTCCCACCGGCCAGTACGCTCCCACAGAGTGGGCCTCCTCAGGGTGCCGTCCGCCAGACAATGTCGGCTGGCGACCCCCAGGGGGAGAGCCTTCTCTGTGGCGGCGCCCACCCTCTGGAACAACCTCCCCCCAGAGCTACGTACAATAACAGACCTCCGGATTTTTCGTCGGGCCCTAAAAACCCATTTATTTCAACTAGCTGGGCTGGCTTGAGTCAAATTTTAAACGGATTTTAAATTGAAATGTTTTAATTACGGCCAAAATTATTTAATTATTTTAAACAGATTTTAGATTTTGTATGTTTTGTATGTATGTCTTGTTTTTACTTTGGCTGTTCACCGCCCTGAGTCCTACATTGGAGAAGGGCGGTATAGAAATTTAAACAAATAAATAAATAAATAAATAAATTTCCTCCTCTAAAACTAATGTGTATCTTATAGTCCGGAGCTTCTTATAGTGCAAAAAATACGGTATATTTCTTGTAAAAAAGGCCTACACCACGCTTGTTATCCATTGGATAACAAGAAATGACACCAAAGGGGAGATGACAATATAATATTCTTATGTAAATCAACTGTGCACACAAGCAGACGAGGAGAAGCTAATTTCCGGTTCCCAAAATATTAGAAAGAGATTATCCAATGAAATTGAATCCTGAAAAGATCAGGACAAATAAAAGAAAATATTATTTTAACACAACATAGAATTAAACTTAGCAATTTACAGCCATATGATATGGTGTTGGCTACTAGACTGACTTGCTTCCAAAAACAGGCTGGACCAATTAATGGAAGTCATGGTGATCAATGGTTATTAGCCTTGACAGCAGTCTAACTACCTCTGAAAGTCAACAAGTGGGAGACTAGTGGGTTTCCTTGTGCAACTGGTTGGCCATTATGAAAGCAGATTGCTGGACCAGAGGTCTAATCCATTGCTAATCTTTATGTTCTTAAGAGAAACAAAAGGATATAGATAAAAAGCAGTCAACTAGCTAATGATTTATAGCAAAAATCAACATGGGACAGAAAGTCTGAGAGCTGTCACATAATAGAGATTAACAGGAAAATGTCTTTCAAAATAGAAAAAGGCAGCTCATCATAGAAGATAGGAAGCTACTGCTACCTGCAATTAAAAAAAAAACTTATCTTAAATTGTGTTTTTCTATGTGTATATTTTTTATATTTAACTGATTTTTCTAAAATTTCAACAATAATTTTATTCAAGTATAAAATACTAAAATAAAGAGAACCTTTTTGAAAATCACATTACAGTAGTCTTTAATTAACAATGGCAATTGGGACCAGAATTGACATTGCTAAGCAATGCACATTATGTGACCATGCCTCTTAGTGACAGAACTTCCAGCAATTCTGGCTGCTGCTGTTAAGTGAGGATTCCAAGGGTCATTAAGCAAGGATTTCTGGGTGACTTCCCCAATGACTCTGCTTGGGAGAAGCCAACAGGAAACGATGAATATTGTGGTTACATGACTATAGGTTGCTGTATCATACTTGTGAAACAGGTGATGAATGTCTCGATCACTGTAGAGATGCTGCAACAACTGGAACTCTGAGGACTAACCATCACTCATTCATGCTACTGCAAATTTAAATGGTCGCTAGACAAGAGGTCATTAAATGAAGACCACCTGTATCAGTCAATTTATATTAGAATGAAGGAAAAAAGTGCAAGACTCTTATTACAAAACATATTTCTGTCAATCGATAAGAGTCCAAAGCAGTATTTCAAATGTAAACTACTTTAGGACTCTCACAAAATTCCACCCTGTCTTCATACCCCCCCCCCCCTCCCAATCCTTTTTTTGATTGCTCCCTTTCTATTAACAGGGTAGAAAGTACTGCTACCTTAGAGAGGCTGTTAAGTTTTCTTAGGGCATTGCCACTTTATATTCATTCTATTATTTGGTGACACTTATACTGCTTGTTTTTTTGCTGATGAGCAAAGGATTTTCCAGATAAGCACTGTTCTTCTATAAAGGATAGCTCTGGCCTTTTTAGAAGGTATGCTGCTCAGGAAGTTTTAAAAGGTGTATTAATATTTATTTGAAATGTTGATTATTGGAAAACATGAACATGTTTATTTTCATAAATTAAAAAAAAACCATTTTGATTTAACCATACCTGTTTCAGGTGGTTTGTTAATGTTTTTAACTCCATTTCTTTGCTTCTCAACATCAATTCAAGCTGTTGTTTTTCTTCCATTTGCGTACAGTACTGCTCATCTTTCTTCCTTAACTGCTCTTGATTTTTCTCATGTAGTATATCAGCTCCCATTCTTTTTTCTTCCTCTTGTTTCATACAAAATCTGGAATAAATGAGTAAACGTTTAACATAGATTTGTGCAATAAATACATGAAAAGCAAGAAAATGTATTTGTAAAGTGGAATTAGCTTTGCTTACTTGCTCTGGCTCCAGTATCTACACTGAATTAGCAAGTTTGCATATATATGTTTGTGTATGTATATGTGTGTGTATATGTACACACACACACATATAGAGAGAGCGCATCACGAATGTAAAATCAGAGATTGTACAATTTCGCCAAAGTAGTGAAGTGAAAATATGACAAACTGAAGTTTTAGAAATTGAAGACAACCATTATATTGAAGTCTTTTAGTAATCTTTGTACAATTGAAATTGCTGGCTTTAGCAGCTAAAAGCCAAATTTTCAAAGTTTTTTTAACCATATTTATTGAAAAGGAAATTATGTTACAAAAATCTTGACATCTGGCTATGTTTAGTTTAGCACCCATTTTACCTCTAAGTTTTTTTTGGATACAGATGTCTTGATCTGTTTGTTAATCATGCACTGTTAGGTTTTCCTGAAAAAGGAAGAATGTGCAGATATTCTGGGCTTATTTACAAGAGCTTTTTTCAGACTATAAGATGTCTATGCTAGGCATACATATAAATATATATAACACTTGAAAAAACTTGATAGTCTGATTATGTCAAAATAGTTTAAATCTGTTTAATTTTAATCTGTCATTTAATTTCCAATTGATACATTTCTCATTAAAAATTTGAATCTTCTTTTTATTTCAGATAATATTGCATGGTTTAACAACGAAACAGAAATTAAGAGTTGCCTTGCAGGAAGATGGGCAGCAAACAAGCTTAATAAATAATAATAAACAATAAATAATTGATTCAATTTGCTCTAATGTTTCTTTAACTCAAAAAAAGTGTTGGAGAAATTATACCAAAATCAGTTATTTATTTAAAAGTTCTTACTTCAGATTGGTGATTTCACTTTCATATTGTACTTTTTGATGATCCAATATAGATTTCATATCTTTCAAGTCTTCCAGATTTTTTTGCCATTCATTTCTCTGATTTTCAAATTTTTTTACTTTTTCAAGCAATTGAGTATAACGCCCCTTCTCATGTTCAATTAGTCGTTCATATCCATGAAATATATTCTGAATTTTCAAGAGACTTACAGAATCTGCTTTGGAAAAAAAAATCACGTTAACATTATTTATACTATACGATATTTAATTAAAAAGAAGAATGACACACACCATCCTCTGAAAAAATATTCAAATGTTTTCTTTAATGGCAGCTAAGATATAATCAATTGCTCAGTCACAAAAAAAAGAAACAGGATCCAATTACTTTTTTAAAAATACATGGATATGTTTACTTAGCTTTAGATTAAACTTACTAAAAATGTGATCTCATGTGATCATGAGCAAATTTTGAGATGGGGTGTCACAAATTTTGGGGGTGGAAAGGATGGGACATGAACAGCAAAAAGTTTGAAGAGCTCCTGTGGAAGGCAGTAACTTATGGCTGACAGGGAGATGATCAGGCATTGATAATAGGGTCACCTCATAGCCAGAAAAAAAGCAAGCAAAACACCAACTTTATCACCCTTTATAGACCATAGCAAGAACATTAAACTTGCTTGGTCACTTCTGCTGCTACAACGACAGCGGAAGTATAATATAGATCTTCCTCAGAAATCATCACATACTCATCCATTTAACTGAAGAGACAAATGCATGAAACATTGGAAGCAGCCCCCACATTTCTTGTTGTTAAGGCTCCTCCTCTTCCACCTCTACTACTTTCCCGGTCTCTCTGTCTCTGTAAATAGCCAAACTGCAGCCGTCTTCAGTTATTCGGGAGGATCCTAAAGTCGACAAAGCCACTCTTTTACAATAGCAAAGGGTATCCAAATCCTGTTTTCAGGAATACCTTGGAGCCCAAGGGCACAGAAAAGCTATCCAAAAAAGTCATAGCACAGTTAGTTCCAGAAAATCTGTCAGGTCACCATTCTCAAAATTAGTAAAAGGATTGGGCCAACCAAATAGCCTAGGATGAAAACAAGCTCCATATTCCAACTTTCAGAGTTGCATATCTTTCTTGGGCCATTTTCCTTCTTGTGTAACTATTTGAATATGTAACTATTTGTAATCAATAAAGTATAACTGAGGAAACAATATAGCTTCACTTTTTAATTATTTTTTTTGCATTACAATTTAATGAAAAAAACCACACACACATATCTATTCACATAAAAAAAAATTAAATTCAAGCAGAGCATATTAGCTTTGTTCTTTAAGTTGAATTACTTATATTACATTGCAGTTATAATTACATTATATTGTGATATAATTACTGCAACTATATCACAATATAGTCCTTATATTTATCTGTAAAGAAAAAAACATGGAAGGAAAAATCCAGTAGCATGAAAAGATTTTCTCCAATGTTTATTAGCTTACTTTAGCAAGCTTCCAGGTGAAGAACTAGTAATGATGCACAGAGAACTGGCACTGCCAGAACACCTATCACAAATTCTACTTCCTCCATTTCAAAGGGATTTGTTTTTCAGATCTACTATTGACAGTGCTGTATTTTCCGCCAGCAGGACTGAGATTAGGGGTAAGAAAAATACTTCTTGGCAATATTTTACAGTTTCTGTAAAACCTCTTTTATCAGCCACAAACTGGACAAAAGGCAAGATACACAAAATTTTATTTGTGCCAATTGAGGATTTACAAAATTGCAATCTTAATATTGATTGCTTGGCTTCAGACAAAGGCAAACTTCTTTTGGACCATGTAATTTTGAGGCAAATCTGGCATTCTGTGGAAGTATATCTTGTCAGAGAATTCCAGAATGTTTGTTCTCATATTAATGCCTTCTGCACATCTCACTGATTAGGGCAGCACCAAGAGCCTTAGTGGTGCAGCAGACTAAACAGACTAAAGTGCTGTTAAGTAGCACCAGCTGCCTGCAATTACTGCAAGTTCAAATCTCACCAGGCTCAAGGTTGACTCAGCCTTCCATCCTTTTGAGGTAGGTAAAATGAGGACCCGGATTGTGGGGGCAATAAGCTGACTTTGTATAAAAGAGAACACCGCTGGAGGGGGAGGGGCGCACGAAAGCCCTACTAAACAGGTATATAAAAAAGTATGAAGGCTATGGCTTAATGCATTGTAAGCCGCCCTGAGTCTCCGGAGAAGGGCGGCATATAAATCGAACCAATAAATAAATAAATAAATAAATAAATAAATAAATAAATTTTTAATACACACTTAAAAAATAACCAGTTCCGTAACACTTTGCTTTACTGTCTGTTATAGTAATTGCCATTGGGCATTAGTTTCCAAATTACAACATAATCCCAGTTTTAATAAGTCATGTTATCCATTAATTTGTTAAAAATGTTCTTAAAATATAGCTACATTATCTTTTCTGAGCACGTGTGAACACATACTTCTAAAGGCTGACTGCATTCTGTTTGAAAATATCTTCAGCTAACTAAATCACTAATTCACACTAAATCAAAGCTTGCTCAACTCATGTCCTAAATCAGAATTATTAATGACCTTCTCTTATTAACTAATGTGGAAAAGCACAAATTGTAATAACTTTTAAAAGCTTTTACAGAATACTGGCATGAAGAGATTATGATTCAATTTTAGAGAAGTATGTACGGGAATTGTAAATTCAACTACCAAATATCAAATAGATATTTAAATAAGGCATGTGTTCTTAGCATTTTAATATTTTATTATTTGATGATGTCAGCTTTGGAAGCCATATTAACACCGGAAGCTTCCACGCTGCCACCTTCTTGCGCTTGGGAAAGTAGGAGGGGGGATTTAGTTGAGGGATTGTAGTTAGACATAATAGCATTCTTCTTTTAGGTCAAGGTCATGGTGTTCCTGCATCTGGAGGAGGAGTGGTTGAAGTGGTGGCTCAAGTTGGGATGGATGGTGATTGGGCCATGTGATGGACTGAGGGGTGCAGGGGCTGGATTTGCTGTTTTGATTTTCTGAGGGAAAACCTAGAACTCTCTGATTCGGGATTTCCCAGATGTGAAACTCTACTCTAATAAGTGGGAACTTTGAGAAGATGCCCGTCGCAGAGTTTTTAACTGGAGTTGGGGTTTCCCAGGATGCTGACAGATGACCTTGGATATTACAGATAAGTTCCTGCTTTTGTTTTTGAAAACTGATTAAGATAAATTCAAGAGTTTTCTAACTACAGTTCTTTAAATCTTTTAAAAAGGGGAATTCCTATTGACATAATTAGATGGTAGTAGATATTACATCCCTTCAAGGAGCTACAATTTCAAAGTGTCTGATAAATTATGTGAATAGAAGATATACCTGTAAGCCATATAACTCCTCTGCTACTATTAAAACAGAAGGAAAACCTGCAATTGTTTTCAATATCCTCTTTGATAGGGAGATTCTCAGTCATCCAGGTCATGGTTGTCCCAAAGATGCTTTTTCAAGAGGCAACTGGACTTTCTTGTTTTTTCTTTGATAATTGAAAAATATTTCTATTTGCTTCTGAAAATTATGACTAATACTCAGTGCAACTGTAGTCTATATGAACATTCAAATTCTAAAATGGGCTCTACAACACCTATTATTTTCAACCAGTACAGCCAATAGTCATACTGGCTAAGAATGCTGGGATTTTTATTTCATTGGTTGACTCCTTTTCATTATATATCTGAAAGATGAGACAAAAACTTTGATAAATCTTGATAAAAAAAGCAGCTAGCCAAGAAACACTATTTTGTATTCATAAGAAAACATTTATGCTTGAACAACTACAAATGTGCTCACCTTTACAATCTAAACTAAGTTCTTCTATTAGCACTATAGCTTCCTTATAAATGGAAGAAAGTGACTCAATATCCTCTGTAGTTGAATCTGAAGATGGAGTTAAGTCATCCAGATCGTTAGTAATACTCAATGTTCTATAAAGCTATAAATGAAACAAGAATTAAACATAATTATATTCTAAATCAAAACGTCCTTCATTTCTCTTTTTTATTAACTTTTAATTCTACTAAGAAAGTTTTACAAATGGAAATTGACTTAATTAGATACCACATCAAATCATGATTTGACAGCTCATAAAGTAGTATTTCTAATAAATCCACTTAATATTAAGAGTTATGACTACCCCTGTATCACAACCAGGAGACATGAACCCACCAATATCTCAGTCTGCATAAAGGACTATACTTTTAATCGTAAATTATTATTTAAATCATTTATACTGAAGTATACAAAGCTATTAATATATTGCTTTCTGTGGAAGCTTCCATATTTGAGCTATGTTCTTATGCATTCCAAATTGTGTTTGATGATTCTGCCTTGATAATGAAGTGGTATCACGTGGTAGAGTTACAATGTCAATGGCTGCTATACAGCTTCCTAATCAGCAATCTTCAGACACAGATAGTCCTTGACATGGAACCATTCATTTAGTGACCATTCAAAGTTATTGACAACACCGAAAAAAGGGAATTACACCTACAACTACTGCAGTGTCCTCATCATCATGAGATCAGAGTTTAGGTATTTGGCAACTGGCATGTATTTACGATGGTAGCAGTATCTGAGGTCATGTGATCACCATTTGAGACTTTCCCAGAGGACTTACAACAAACAGTCAATGGGGAAAGCTGGTTCATTTAACTACTGTATGACTGCATCCCTTAATAATGTAAGTTCTGACCCCAACTATGAGAGGCAAAACCTTTTTTTTTCTTGCTTACCTCTTCGAAATGTTGGTGTGTCTTATACACCAGTGCGTCTTATAGTCTGAAAAATACGGTAGTTTATGATCATACTGAAAACTCACGATTTATCTATCTTACCAAAGCATCTTAGTATTTAAAGTCAAATCCAAATTGGCTTACTGTGCTTTTCACTTAAAGCTTTAGAAATATGAGTTAAATTGATGGCAACATTTTGCAAGCTTGTTTTATCCTACCTTATTTTTTCTATTCACAGATTTGGCTGGATATCTGAAAATAAGTTTAAAAACTGTATTAAGATTTTAATGTATTTTTATATCAAAATTCTGAAAATTTACAGCTGTTAATTCTAGACCATCCATTCTGAATCTAATGAGTTTAATGGTGCAGCAGAAGGGCAGCCTAGATACCTATGAATCTCAATGGATGTTCCCACTATCAAGCGGACTTCCAGCATGATTCCTTTAAGAAATAAATTGATCAATTTTCTCTTTTTGAAATTCTTTGCAGCATATGTATGATGTCTAGGCTTCCGTTAGGATCAAAAAGTTGATAATGGAAGTTTGGGAGCATAGCTACTGTACAGGAGCACTGAGGATGCACCTCAAGGGTGCATTCTTATAGAATTTTAATAAGTTTTGGCTAGGACTATCACTGGTCTAATTCCAAATCACACAGAACTTTACATTAATTCTAAAAAAAAACTCCCATACCTTTCTTCAAGTGATGCTTCACTCAAACTGCTCTCATCTTGTGGCTGATGTAGATTATTACAAAGCTGTTGACTGACCTTCTGTTTAGAATTCCGCCTTTTATTTTCACTTTTTCTTGTAGCTTTTAAACTGGAGGATTTTTTTCAAAATAAAAATAAAAATAAATAAGTAATTGAACACTACTTTAAAGATAATTTTATTTATGAAAAAGTTAAAATATAAAAATAAAATGAAGACATATTGCTAAGAGTCAAAGAATGGCAAAATTTCTAATCTGACAGCATACTGGATTTAGGAATTCAGAGTTATATGAATAAAGTGTTAATTGTATCAATGTAATGATATATAGCTGTATGATCTGGGAAAAGTCTAAAATGAATCCCCAAAGCATCTATCATAATGCTTCTCAGTAAATTGAAGGCATTTCGGTCCTCACTTGTGCTTAAACTGAAATATTTCTGTATCAGTACATGAATACCATATTTAAAATCAAGTAAGAATCCTGAAGGACAGATAATTATTATTATTTTATTATTATTATATTTTTATTCCATTTATATACATTTAAAACTCAAGGCAGCAAACATACCTAATTTCCTCCTAAATGCCTCCTAATTTCCCCACAACAGCAACCCTCTGAAGTGGAAAGAATGACTGGCCCAAGGTCACCAAACTGGATTTCATGCCTAAAGGAGGCATGGAATTTAGTCTCCTGGTTTTTAGGATAGCATTTTAACCACTATAACCATGGTTATATATGACTGCTCTCTGAGTCAAGTGGTGTTATTGATTGCACTTGCACAGATCAAATTGTCTGACCTCTGCACCCTTAATGTGTCCCAACTACCAAGACTGGAATCTAAGGTCACCATCACTCTCATAGCATTCTATAAAGAGTGGAAGATTCCTGTCATTAGAGAGCTTTTACTACCAGGAAAAGAAAAAGCCAGAATAGCCACTACATACATATTAACCAATTACACTCTCAAGTCTTAGGCCTTTCATTTTGAAAATATCTCAAGCAGACATCCCCAGTGGGGATTTGAACTAATTGTGATTATGGTAATAAGCAAAATGAGTGCTTTTCCTAGTTTAGGAAAAGTAGAATGTATAAAGAAGTTTCTGACAAGTCTATAGAAGATGAACAGGATGGAATCCTGTCAATCGTCACAACTCCTAATCTGATCTCCAGTAGAGGTATTGTCAATTTGCAATAGTTTGTTTAGTGACTGTTTCAGAGCCACTGAAAAAAGTGAAGCGAAGTATTTTCAGTCAGACAAAAGATAATTATTTTGTTTTTTATTTTGGTTATTTTAGTTGTTTATTTTAAAAATATAAAATATTGCACCTGATTGATCTTGGCTGACCTCAGAAGCTAAGGAAAGTAGATCCTAGTTAATGCTTGGATGGGAAAATACCTAGGAATCCAAGCACTGCTGGCTATGTAAAGTTAAACAAAAAATCCTGTAAGGTATCAATGATAAACTAAATTGATAACACTAAGAAAATTGTGTGGAAGTAGTGAGAGGAATCAAACGTGTCTTGAGGTTGTCTACACCTTTATTCTAATTGTTCCTTAAAAATTTGAAGAAAGACTATAATGGGTGGAGCATCGGGGGCGGCCCGGGAGTTCATCTCTTCCATGGCAGCCATGGACCTGACCCAGATAATTCAGGGCCTGACTCATGAGGGTGGGCACACCACCAATCTTGTTTTTATCTCAGAACAGTGGCGTGATTATCTCGGTGGGGGAGTACCAGTTATTCATCCCCTGTCATGGACCGATCATTATCTCCTGCGGCTGGGCTTCCAGAATGCCAACACCACCACCACCCTCGCTGGGATGCGGGACCGACCATCTGGTTCCGCCCCAGGTGCCTGATGGACCCGGAGAGGTTCCAGATGGAGCTTGGGACAATACCTCTCTCCCTCTCCCACGCCCCGGTCGAGGCTCTGGTGGATGCCTGGGAAAAGGCGGCCTCCGGGGCACTCGACCATGTCGTGCCTTTGCGGCCTCTGACTCGACGCAGATCCCGGTTGGCTCCTTGGTTCATGGAGAAGCTCCGGGAAATGAAGCGCCGTAGGAGAGGCCTAGAGAGCGGTTGGAGAGCCAGTCGTTTCGAATCTGACCGTTCCCAGTTGAGATCTTTCACACAATCTTATCTGGTGGCGATGGAGGCGGCGAAGCGGGCATACTTCTCCGCCCTCATCGCGTCCACAGATAATCGCCCGGCCGCCTGTTCAGGGTGTCCTGCTCCCTCCTGAATCGGAGGGTGGGGAGGATTCTTTGTGGGGACGTGCCGAGGAGTTGTCAGCATCTGCTGGATAAGATCGCTCAGATTCGGGACGGTCTGGACTCTGACAGTAAGGAGGCAGCTGGTCTTGGGATTTGGGAGGAGTTCGATCCTGTCACCCCTGAGGAAGTGGACAGGATCATGGGAAGGCTGAGTGCCACCACGTGTGTACTGGACCCGTGTCCCTCCTGGCTTATTTATGCAGCCTGAGAGGTGACACGGGATTGGATCCAGGCAGTAATAATGGCATCTTTGGATGAGGGGATCTTCCCCGCCGCCTTGAAGGAGACGGTGGTGAGACCCCTCCTCAAGAAACCTGCCTTGGATCCAACCATACTGGATAACTTTCATCCGGTCTCCAACCTTCGCTTTGTTGCGAAGGTTGTTGAGAGCGTGGTGGCATGGCAGCTCCCGTTGGCCCTGGAGGATACAGATTACCTGGATCCGTACCAATCGGGTTTCAGGCCGGGGTACAGCATGGAGACGGCATTGGTCGCGCTGGTGGATGATCTTTGGAGGGCTCGGGACAGGGGATACTCCTCTGTTCTGGTCCTCTTGGATCTTTCGGCGGCTTTTGATACCATCGACCATGGTATCTTGCTGCAATGGCTCGGGAGGTTGGGAGTGGGAGGCACTGTTCTACGGTGGTTCTCCTCTTATCTCTCGGGCTGTACGCAAGCGGTATTGGCAAGGGGACAGAGGTCGGCTATGAGGCCCCTCACTTGTGGGGTGCCCCAGGGGTCGGTCCTGTTGCCTCTCCTGTTCAACATCTATATGAAGCCGCTTGGGAAGATCATTCATGGTTTTGGGGTGCGGTATCATCAGTACGCTGATGATACCCAGCTTTTTATATCCACCCCAAACCAGCCCAGTGATGCCCTCGACGTGATGTCCCGTTGCCTGGAAGCGGTACGGACCTGGATGGGGAGGAACAGGCTTCGACTCAACCCCACCAAGACTGAATGGCTGTGGGTATCGGCATCTTGGTCCGATCGAGATATTCCATCATTGACCATCAGGGGAGAGGTGTTACCCCCTGTGGATAGGGCTCGCAACTTGGGTGTCCTCCTGGATTCACGGTTGTCTCTGGAAGATCATGTAACGACCGTGACCAGGGGGGCATTTGCCCAGGTCCGCCTTGTGCGCCAGTTGTGCCCTTACTTGGACCAAGATGCCTTACGCACTGTTACTCATGCGCTGGTCACCTCCCGTCTTGACTACTGCAACACTCTCTACCTAGGGCTGCCCTTGAAAACCACTCGAAGGCTTCAGCTGGTGCAGAATGCGGTCGCGCGGGTTGTGATCGGAGCGTCCCGACACTCCCATGTTACACCCCTCCTGCGCGACTTGCATTGGTTACCGGTTGCCCTTCGGGTGAGGTTCAAGGTGCTGGTTATCTCCTACAAAGCCCTTCATGGCCTAGGCCCGGGATATTTGTCGGACCCCCTGCAGCCAGCGACAATTCCCAATCGCCCGGTGCGTTCCCACAGACAGGGCCTCCTCAGGGTGCCGTCGGCCAGTGTCGGCTGGCGACCCCCAGGGGGAGAGCTTTCTCTGTGGGCGCACCCACCCTCTGGAACCAACTTCCTTTGGAGCTCTGGATGGCCCCTGACCTTTGCTCGTTCCGCCGCGATTTGAAGACCTGGTTTTTCCACAGCCTGGACTGATTGGGGGGGGGTGTTCTTAATGAATTTTAAATTGTTTTAAATAGGACTTTTAATTTATATTGTCTTTTAATGAGGAACTGTGCATTTTTACTGTTGTGAGCCGCCCTGAGTCCTTGGAGATAGGGCAGCATATAAATTGCATAATAAATAAATAAATAAATAAATAAATAAATAAATAAATAAATAAATAAATAAATATAAGTTAATGATGAAAAACTTTGGAAGCAAAAGATCTCTGTTTTAGTCATGACACCATGCCATGTTTAGTTATGACTAAAGAAAAGACTTGGACAATATTTTAAGTGATATTATTTCCCAATTGTAGAACATTTAAGGCAATATATTATAATTACAATTACCTAAGAAAACAATGATTTTAAACAATGCTCATCCAGTTAAACTAATGGTCAGTGTTAAGATAACTATTTATGCTTTGGTTATATATGTAATACTGTATGCCTTAAGCAACTGAAAACAACACAATAAAGTTTAAAAGGAAGTTAATACATGGCAACAGTGCATAATAATTAGTCATATCAGTGTATATAAGAGAATCAATTTAATGTTATTACTATACTCACCCTGGAAAAATTGCTTCCTTTTTATCTGCTGGGAAAACACTTTCTGCCGTAATATGCTGGATTTCACTTATTGAATGCTTCTGCTCTATTTTCTCATCATTATTCACAGCCAGCGTTTCAGCATTAGCAATTTTTTTTCCTTCAGATTCCAATTCCTTTTTTATTTTTTCCTCTTCAATCTAAAGCAGTGATATATTGAAATATTATTTTAAGAACAGCAATAAAAATATCAATAAAATTATTTGCTCTATTACAGATTATTTCTTAATCTTTCAGAACAGCTCTAGAAAAGAAAATAATCACTCACTACTATGATTACAAATTAATAATTAGTATGGTCTAATCAGAAATAATGTAAAAATCATATATATTAGTGATAGGAAAAATGCATTAGAAACACACATTTTTATTATAAACAGAACAGATATTATTTTAAAAAGTGATCGACAACAATGTACTGTAAGATAGAAATGTTTCACAGAGCAAAAAGTGTTAGGCAAGCATAAGAAATGGAAAGATCAATTAAAAACCTGTTCAAAAGCCAGTTTCATATCTTGGATCAAATTTATAATTACTATAACAGTGGTGCGGTTCATTTGTTAATGAAGTAGCACCTATGTAAACTTAAGTTTTTGAGTCTTTGTTATGATAGTTGTATCATACTTCAATTTCTGAATGTTCTTAACATAAAAAGGAAATGCATGAAAAAGGTGTAATTTCTTCCCATATTCACATTAGCATTACTATGTGAAGCCAACACAATAAAGGCTTTTTTTATATAGTGCTGAAGAGCTGAAATGAACAGAATGGCTGAAATGCAAGAAAGATGAAAGAATGAAAAGCAGCAGGTACTTCTCTACCTCTTTTTGCAGTTGGTTCTTTTCTTTCTCCAAAGCGAGGAAAGCTGAATGCAGTATTCCTACCTGATTTTTAAATCTTGCAACATCACCTTCTAATTCTTCATCCAGATCTTTTTTTGATATTTGAGGACATACTTGTTTATGATTTTTCGCTTTATTTCCAATTTCAATATCAGTACCTTTAGAACTATTGAAACTGTTATCAAAATGGTATTCAGTTTCTTCACTTGGATTTTTTGTTACACTAATATGTTTATATAAGTTGTTGGGGGTAATTGGTTGATTAGCAACTATAATTTTAAAAACTGTATCTTTTGTAATGTCTTCATGACTTTGCAATGAATATTCAAGACATTTTTCTGAAGCTCTAGTTCCACCTACATTTGCTTTCAGTTGTATAATTGAATTGTTAATCCTTTCTTCACTGATGTTTACTTTTGTTCCATTTGCATTATTAGACAGTGGGTTCTTATTTGTGTTCCAGTCATCAGTATTTAATTCCCTTTCTGCAACAGCAGATCTTACATCTTTAATGTCACCCTTTCCTTGAATATCAATTTTTACGTTTTGTAGATGAAGTAGTATTTCTTCTTTGCCTTCTACTGCACCACAGAAGCCATCTCGTAATGTTGCTTTGCTTGGAGTGCTACTCATTTTCTCATAAACTTTAATTTCACCAAACATCTGTTTTAGTTCTGCTGTAATACTCTTAAAATTTTCCTTGACTTCCTTTTTTTCATTTGCAACCCACATTTTTTCATATTTTTCTTCCCAATGTATTGAATCAAAATGATTGCGATCATTATGTGCTTCTTTGCTATGCATGAGTGCTTCAGTTACATTTTCATCATCAGCATATTCAATTTTAGTCTTGTCAGTCTGTTTTTCGTGTGTTGATTTTTCTACAGAGTTGGATGTGTTTAACAGGCATTTTTCCTTATGCAAGCAAGTATGGATAGAGAAAAATTAACAAACAAAAACCAGTGTGTTAAATTGTGTTTTAAATGTCATAAAGGGTTTGATTTTGAGAACATCTAAATATTTTTGGTTTAGAAAATCTTTTTTTTCCCAAATACTGTGTTTCCCTGAAAATAAGACCCTGTCTTATATTTTTTTGAACCCTGAAATAAGCACTTGGCCTTATTGCCATGCGCTCAAAAGCCTGATTGGGCTTATTATCAGGGGATGTCTTATTTTGGGGAAAACAGGGTATATATTTTTATTAAATACATAATTTAAATGGAGGGTAATTTCATGGCAGTACAGTATAGAATAATTAAACTTAAAACAGCTTTCATTTTTTTTTGTCATGGCATATTCATAATTAATAGCTTGTCAATCCTAACTAGCAGCATCCCTCTAATTGGGCAGTTGGAAAAAAACAGTCATATTCTCCACTACCTATGGAGGTCATAATCTTCAAATCAATAAGCATTCTACATATCTGGCATCCTCTTCAGGATAGGAGTGTCCAATAATATGTAGTCTCTTTTCAACTCAGTCAATATCTCACTGATGACCCTCCCAAATTGAACACAATCCCGTTCAAAATGTCTAGAAGTGGTACCAACTGCTAGAACTTTGTGAAAGTCATATTTTTATTTATTTATTTATTTATTTATTTATTTATTTATTTATTCGCATTTCTATACCGCCCTTCTCCTTTCGGACTCAGGGCGGTGAACAGCCAAATAAAAAACATCTATACAAACATCACAATTAAAATAAAATTAAGATAATTTATAAATTTGGCTCATAATTTAAAACTTGTCAATTAAAATAAATATTAAAATTTTAAAAATTTTAAAACTAACCCTAAAATCAGGACAGACCAGCTAGTTGAAAAAAATGAGTTTTTAGGGCCCGACGAAAAATCCGGAGGTCGGAGATCACTCGTATCTCTGGGGGTAGATTGTTCCATAGGGTAGGTGCCACCACAGAGAAGGCTCTCCTCCTGGGGGTCGTCAGCCGGCATTGTCTGGCCGACGGCACCCTGAGGAGACCCTCTCTGTGGGAGCGAACCGGCCGGTGGGAGGCTATTGGTGGCAGAAGGCGGTCCCGTAAGTACCCTGGCCCTAAGCCATGGAGCGCTTTAAAGGTAATCACCAACACCTTGAAGCGCACCCGGAAGTCCACCGGAAGCCAATGCAGCTCGCGCAGGAGAGGAGTCACATGGGAGCGCCCCGTCGCTCCCATAATCCCCCGCGCAGCCACATTCTGCACCAGTTGGAGCCTCCGGGTGCACCCCAAGGGGAGCCCCATGTAGAGAGCGTTACAATAGTCCAGACGAGAAGTGACGAGTGCTTGAGTGACCGTGCGTAGGGAGTCCCGGTCCAGAAAGGGACGCAACTGGCGTATCAGGCGAACCTGACAAAAAGCCCTCCTGGCCACGGCTGTCATATGCCCTTCTAAGGACAGCCGCGCATCCAGGAGGACACCCAAGTTGCGGACCCTCTCTGTGGGGGCCAATGATTCGCCCCCAATAACCAGCGATGGCGTCAGCTGGCTATACCGGGACGCCGGCAGCCACAGCCACTCGGTCTTGGAAGGGTTGAGTCGAAGCCTGTTTCTCCCCATCCAGACCCGCACGGCCTCCAGGCACTGGGACATCACTTCCAAGGCATCATTGGGATGGTCTGGGGTGGAAATGTACAGCTGAGTGTCATCAGCGTACTGATGGAACTCCACCCCAAAACCACGGATGATCTCACCCAGCGGCTTCACATAAATGTTGAACAGGAGGGGCGAGAGGACCGACCCTTGCGGCACCCCACAAACAAGGCGCCTTGGGGTCGACCGCTGCCCCCCTGTCAACACAGATTGCGACCGGTCGGAGAGATAGGAGGAGAACCACCGCAAAACAGTGCCCCCCACTCCCAGTCCCTCCAGCCGGCGCAACATGATACCATGGTCGATGGTATCAAAAGCCGCTGAGAGGTCTAATAGGACCAGGATAGAGGAATAACCCCTATCCCGGGCCCTCCAGAGATCATCCACCAACGCGACCAATGCCGTTTCCGTGCTGTACCCAGGTCTGAAGCCGGACTGGAGCGGATCCAGATAGACAGCTTCATCCAGGTACTGGGGAAGCTGTCGCGCCACCACACTCTCAACAACCTTCGCAATAAAGCGAAGGTTGGAGACTGGACGATAGTTAGCCAAAATAGCCGGATCCAGGGATGGCTTCTTGAGGAGAGGCCTCACCACCGCCTCTTTCAAGGCGGCCGGCAGGACACCCTCGCTCAAAGAAGCGTTAATAATCCCCTGGAGCCAGCCTCGTGTAACCTCCCGGGAAGCCAGCACCAACCAGGAGGGACACGGGTCCAATAAACATGTGGTTGCGTTCAGCCGTCCCAAGATCCTGTCCATGTCCTCGGGAGCCACAGGATCGAACTCCTCCCAGATAACATTCTCAAGGCCTGCCTCAGTCATCTCGTCTGAACTAACCCAGTCGGCGGCCAAGTCTTCCCGAATCTGAGTTATTTTATCATCCAGATACTGTACAAAATCCTCAGCTCGGCCCTGCAAGGGTCTGAACATATATCTCATAGAAATTTTATTAAATTTATGTTTAAATGTTATTTTTATATGACCTATCAAGTACATGTTATTAATTTTTGCCAGTGTACAACAAAACCGTTATCACCAATATAGACTATAAATACCAAGCATAATCATGTGTCATAATCATTACTGATGAAAAGGACCATAATCCTACCATATCTTTAAATACAGATGCAAATAAAAATTCTAATTTGAGTTGGAATAAGGTACAGCACATCTGAGATGGAGGTAAAAAGATACTCCAGAGAATGGGTGACCAAAAAAAAATAATTTTTCAAAGCTGATATTAAATTAATGTCCACAGTAGTGACACAATCAAGCAGGAGCAATGATGGTTGAATATGCCAGGCAGGTCTTTGTGAGAGAAAATTTTCTCTCAAGTATCACTATCAAGTATCAATGCACTTAGGTTATTTAAATTCTTGAATTTGAAATGTTAATTTCCAATTCTAGACTGGTATCAAATTGACAGTGTACTTCTTTTAGCAGCACAATAAAGCACAACTCAATCTAATATAATTTCATAGTATTGCTAAAACCTTACAAGATCCCAATTTCATAATTCCGTTGTTCTGCTGCTGGAGGAATTAATTCAGTTGAGTTGCAGAGAAAAGTAACCCCATGGAAACAGGTCCAGTGGAAAATTTAATCTGCAAGCTAAAATCTGCCTGGTTTAAGTAGGGTAGGTTTTAGGTCAAGTAACTAACAGTTCTTTCCAGGAACATCTTTATGAATAAAGCTCCCAGAGGTATCTGTTAGCTGAAGAATAGGTGTGTATGATTAAAAACATACTATTGATTCGAATAGTTTCTATAATTTCCAAGCAGGTAACATTTCATCAATCTTTCCTAATTTGAATACACTTCAGATGTATAGACTTCCACTCTTAGGCTTCTCACAAATTCCCCATTGCTGAGGAGCCTAAGAATTAAGTCCATGAATTTGGAATGTTAAGACTGAGGAAGGCCACCTATCATGCCAAGAAGGAATCTTTAATATTAAAATTGGGTGTGGATAGACAAAGGACAGAAGTATTATCTTATACTTATTTGTATAATAAATGTTATTTGTTTTTATCTAATGAATCATAGATTGGAAAAAATTATATTAGAATAAGAAAATTAAAACTATGTGCTTTGGCAACAAGATGTATGTCAGGAAACATATAAGAAAGTAGTATGTCTAATACTACAGGGTTTAATATACAGGGAATCATATAAATAAGGATTAAAGCTCTATTACTCTATCTATAAATTTAATTACTACACAGAAGCAGACATCCCTTCCGATACCATTTTTGTCCCAAAAGCAGAGCTTTTAGTTTTTCCTTTACATATACATCATTGAGCATTCCATAATCCACAACTACAGAATAAAAAGTTAATGATATAGGATTAATATTCTTTCATTTCATTTTAATGATAACTATTAAATGTGTCTTAGTTTCAGAAATGTTAAAATTTGTTTCAGCCACATAATACAAAGAAATACCAATATTTAAATGAACACTGCATACATACCTTGCTTTTACTTTTAAATTCTTTGATAGTTTTGTGTTCAATATATTGCTGACCTATAATAAAATGTTGAATAACATACTTGTAATTATTATAATTTGTTAGTTGATTTGTACTCTAAAAACCTTTCCAAAATGTTTGACTTAAAATGAGATTGTATATAGATAAACATTGTTTCACAGTGAAGGTGCATTTTGCATATGATCAAATAAAAAATTCCCAGTATAAGCAAGTGAACCTAGCATATAAAGAATAAAGTTCTTTATTTACAGCTCAATCGTGCTTATCTGTTAATTTCCTACTCAAATTTGTTTTACACAGCATTAAAAAATACAGAGGTGGATTAACTTTTGGCATGTGTCTAAAATCTAGTATAATTTATTTTTGCCTAATTCTGCAGTTCCATGCTGTCCTCATATACCTTGAGTAGATGGTATATATTCATAAGATACGAGTAGCTTCTCATGCATACAGTACATTCAGAAAGTATTCAGACCCCCTTCACTTTTATCAATTTTGTTATTCTGCAGCCTGATTCTACAGTTGTTGAAATTCATTTTTTTCTTCATTAATCTACATTCAGTACCCCATAAAGACAAAGTGAAAACAGAATTTTAGAAATGTCTCTAAATTTATTAAAAAGAAAAAAACCTGAAATATCACATTGGCATTAGTATCCAGATCCTTTGCAACAATGCATGAAACACATTAGCTCTGGTGCCTCCCATTTCTCTTGATCGTTGCTGACGTTTCTACACCTTCATTGGAGTTGACTATGGTAAATTAAATTGATTGGACATGATTTGGAAAGGCACACACCTCTCTATTAAAGGCCTCACAGCTGACAAAGCATACTGTAGCAGAGCAAAACCATGAGGTCAAAGGAACTGCCTGCAGAGCTCAGAGACAGGCTTATTGCAGGGCACAGATCTGGGGAAGGCTACAATAAAATTTCTGCTGCACTGAAGGTTCCTAAGAGCACAGTGGCCTCAATCATTCTCAAATTGAAGATGTCTGGCACAACCAGGACTCTTCCAAGTGCTGGTCCTCTGGTCAAACTGAGCAATTGGGAGATAAAAGCCTTAGTAAGAGAAGTAACTATGAACCCGATGGTTACTCTGACTGAGCTCCAGAGATCCTATGTGGAGATGGACAGAGTTCCAAAAGGACAACCATCATTGCAGCCCTCCACCAAACTAGGCTTTTTGGCACAGTGGCTAGACAGAAACCTCTCAATGCATAACACATGAAAACCCACTTGGGAGTTTGCAAAAAAGCACCTGAAGGACTGTGAGGAACAAGAGTCTCTGTTCTGATAAAACCAAGATTGAATTGTTTGGCCTCAATTCTAAACAATATGTCTGGAAGAAACCAGGCACTGCTCATCACCTGCCCAATACCATCCCAAGAGTGAAGCATGGTGGTAGCATCATGCTGTGGGGGTGTTTTTCAGTAGCAAGGACTGGAAGACTGGTCAGGGTTAACGGAAACCTGAATGGAGCAAAATACAGGAATATCCTCAATGAAAACCTATTCCACAGTGCTCAGGACCTCAGACTGGGCCAAAGCTTCACTTTCCAACATGACAATGACCCTAAGCACACAAGGAAAACACAGGGGACAACTCTGTGAATGTCCTGGAGTGGCCCAGCCAGAGCCCTGACTTGAACCCTATTGAACATCTCTGGAAGGACTTGAAAATGGCTGTCCACCGACGGTCACCATCCAACCTGACTAAGCTTGAGAGGGTTTGCAAGGAAGAATGGCAGAAAATCCCCCAATTAAGGTGTACAAAGCACTTAAACTTTTATTGAAATTATTTCAAATACAAATATTTTGCCTCTAGATTTTAACTATGCAATCTGATCGGTGCTAGGTTATCCACTATGGAATGAAGAAACAAATGACTGAATCCACTGTTGAATTCTACCCAAGAAAGGACATAGTGCTTTATCTGTTTTTCCTTCCAGCTACTACTGCCTGTGGATTTATTAATGGAATATAAGAAGGAAAAAAATTTAAAAATGTCATCCTCTATCTGCAGCCAATGGAAGGCTTTATTAGATTTCAATCTTCTCTTGGAAGGAAAGGACTTCTTTTCTACAGAAAAAAAACCAACAACAACCTTGCCTTTTAATTAACAAAGCAGTATAATAAACTATCATTCTGAGTCACTTCGGGATGTCAGAATGTTTCCAGCAGAAGAGTGGAAGAAACAATGAATTATTTGTTTTGGATCAGGGTTATTTAAATTGGGATCAGAATTATTCTCCTTCCTCCCGCAGAAAACTTTGATTTTATTAAAAATGACATCAGCTACCTTTCGAAGAAATTATGTTTTGAGTATCTGAGTCTTCCTTCACAGGCATGGAGATTTCAGGTGTAACATTTGTTTCTATTAATTGATGTGGAGATACCTGATCTTCCAACATAAACATGTCAGCTGGTTTAACACATGGAGAGCTTTTAAGAGAAACACTGGTAGAATCCCAGTCAGATGTATCTAAAAACAAAAAAATATTAAAAAAAGATCAAAGTAGTAAATACAACAACATACAATAGTTTAGCAAATGTTAATCGAATGTATTTTGAAATCAAGTAATACAAAGATTTATTAGGTTGCTAATATTAACAATAAAAAAGTCTATGGCTGAAACATTCCTACATCTGTAATATATCAGCATTTGGTTCTTAAAATACTGATAGGTACTAGAAACTATTTTGACTTAACCATTACATTTATTTATGCACATCCCAAATGAAAAGAATTTAATCTTCAATCTTCCATAGTTTAACAGAAAAGTACAAGTACATGTCTTTTTTTTAGAGTATACAACATTTAGTTTCATAAGCAAAATTTAATTTTAATTGTTTTTGCAATACATGGCAAAATCTGATGTGCTTAAATACTTTCAAATGTATGATACATAAATAGGCATAGTGTTTGAGGACCTTCAATATCATCTGCTTCATCCAAACCAAGTTCTTCCATTAAATCTGAAAGAAATTAATGATATTAGAATATAAAATATGCAATAATATGTATGATATAATATTTTAAACCCCATATAATGTAGTTACCTGATTTTTGCTTTTCTATGATTGCCTTCTTTAGAACAGGAGCAGGAGATTCACATACTAAGTTTTCTTTTGAGATCTTTTGCTATAAAGATAATTCAGCGAAGAATGAAATAAGATACCACAATGTAGTCATAAAAATAGTTAAATAAAGTTCATGTAACAAAAGTAGTACTAACCTGCAAACCTGGTTTTCCTAGGGAAAAAAAGGGGAAACAAGTTACCTAGATAAGGTACTGCAACTTTTAAATTTATGTGAATCCCACTCTTGTATTACAAGTATAATACAATATTTATTTGTTACAAATATAACAAACAAAACTTCTAGGAAGAAATGACGAATTGGAGACAGCTCCCAAAAAGCAGAGCCAATAACTGGAGCATAATGAAGAGCTGGCAAGTAGACCGGCTCTTTGTAAGTCCTGCCCAGACAAAGAGGAGACTTGACATTGTCCCCAGGTGCTTTAGACAGTTGCTTCTCGCAAGACAGCCCCTCTTTGGCAGGTCTAGAGCTGTGGGAGACAAGGTAATAATCAACTTGCTCAAACAGCAGTAAGTGCCTTTAAAAGGAACCGGGCTGACATACTTCCTATTCTAATCACTTTCAAAATTGCTTGTTAACTGCTTTTTGGCTATTAAGAACCTTTGGATCAACATGTTTTACAGCACCAGGTGAGGTTTTTTTCCAATTCTCAGTAAAACAAAATTTAAATATGAAGTTAAGGATTTAAGTTTTTTGTGGAATATAAATAACAAAAGATTAAAACTTTGATTTTAGAAAATTACAAATGGACTAAGGGGCCAGATAAATTTGAAATAAGGCTTTCAAATTAATTATAAGAATATTTTCCATAAGAGAATGTGCCGAGATGGACAAACTCACTAAAGAAATCCAAGAAAAGGAAGAATCTGAATACTATCTGGTTTGGCAAAAGTGGTATCAATGGCTAGAGAAAAGGAAAACCAAATAAAAAGATGATCCTAAAAGATTTGAACCAAATGTGTACCAAGGAAATACAACAGTTACAACAAAACTTCAAATAATATCGTTATATAAGGTGAGATGTAGGAATATATATTGAGAAATACAATTTACTGATGTATTTTCTTAAGAAATAAGATATTATGTTTAAATGTTGCATATGTTGTGTATTGTCTTATTTTGTACTTGTTCGTGTTCTTTTTTCTTTTTCTGTGTGTGTATGTTTTTAATTCAATAAAAAATTACAAAATTTTTTAAAAAAGAATATTTTCCATAAGAAAATCCTTTTGATTAAAAAAAAATATTAAGACAAGATTTCAAAATTGGATGCCAGCGGGAACTTTAAGGAACTAAAGATTATAATTAAAGAAGAAGAAACTTGACTTGCTAAAACAGTGTGAAACAAAATATTTTAACACTGGATGTATTGAAAGTTATTTCTGAACAATGGGAAAAGATGTTATACTGGAAATACAAAACAATGGCTGATGTCATAATAAAAGTAAAGGTAAAGGTATACAGAGATAACAAATCAAGGGAGTAACTTGGATAATTTTCCTATATTGGATTTACAAAAGAGGGTTCTTAAAGTTTTGAAGAATGAAAAAATGAAAATAAATCAACTTCATTGACAACATTTGAAGGAACTAAAGATCAAGGTTGTTAGAAACAAAAGTAATGAATATAAACGTGTTTTAATCAATCAAGATTAAAATAGATATGTTATTTATGGTAACCATTACTAGACTGTTGCTGACACCAGGAATAAAATGATTAGGTGTTATATGTTTGTTTATAGATAAGAAATAGAATGTGGGAAGAACATGTCATTTGTTGTATTTTAAGAGGAGATAACTTATTAAAATTGTTTGTACTTGTGATAATTCTTTATATTTTTCTTTTCTTTTTCTTTACTTTATTCTTTCTCCTTTTCTATTTTTTCTTGCCTGCGCCCTTCTTTGTATTCTTTGTTAGATATTTCATAGGATTATTGTAGGAGGAAAATATATAATTATAACCTGTAAATATATATAAATCCACCCTCCTACCAAACAGCCCCCCCCACACACAACCTTTAGCCACTCCATTATATTTTTCATATCTAAATGACTGAAAAACATTTAAAATATTTATGTATGTTGATATAAAAAGGATAATTTATGATGAATTTACCATTAAATGGTTCTTCTATAATACTGTGCATGTGTATTCCAGTTTTGGCAGGAGATGTAGGCAAAGAACTAATAGTTGGCTTCCTGGGGCTTTCTGAAGTATACTATTGGAAACACACATACGTGAGAAACATACATACAACTATAATCATACCCATTTTGTTTATCTTTCTTTTTGTAGAAAAAGAAAGATATTCCTGAACATATTATGAAAGCTTTTAATTACAGAGAACATAAACACTAGAAGCTAAAACTGATTAATACGAGAAACAATAAATCAAATCAGATTTTAAAATGGAGGTATTTCTTTGAAGTCATAGAGCACAGAAAATTTTAAAAACCTACTTCTGAATCCCATGGAGATTCTGTACACTTCTCCTCTTCATCTTTGTCCTCAACTGAAGTTGATTTAGCTATAAAATAAAATAGTAAATTCTTTACAAAATACTCAAGTGTTCATTATTGAAAAATTGATTGTGGCAATTCAGATTTGAAAAGTATTGCCACGCACTATTCATTCCTCCACCTCCGTGTTTGATTGGTTCTGCCAATTTATCATTCCTCAGTCCTATTATTGTATAACACCTTGATAAGGCAAGACAAAAGAGTTAACTAGATTATAGGGCAATTATTAAATTTAAATAAGTAAATACTTTTCATAGCTGCATTCTGACATTACCTACGCACACTACTTTTACTGAAATATTGCTGAGACGCCAAAGCAAAATTAATTGAATCTTCTTGGTCAGCCCCCAAATTAAAAAAAAAGTTGTTTTCAGAAAAGAAAACAACCTTCTCCTTACAGAGATTTTCAGAAACCAGCCACTGAAGTTTTTAAACATGAAAACTGAAATATAACACTTTAAAGAATGACAGCATCCCAATAGATGTCCAGTTCATAATAAATCACTTATTTACAAATAGGCTATTTCCAGAAACAATTTTGTTTATATATTTTAATCTTATAATATTAAACTATATTAAAATTCATGGCAATAACCAATTAATTATTGGTTTCATGAATTTTAGTTATTAAACTATTAGCTTAATGAAACTATGATGCATAAATATGAGAAGTGACTTTATTATTGCTAATTTGCATGTGATGCAGACTAGTTAATAACTAAAACTTATACCTTTTGGTGAGATATTCCAAGACTGCCTACAAACAATACTTTTTTTATTGGCAATATCCTGTTCACCACCTTCTTCATCTTTTGAAGGTTTCTCCTAACAGAAAGAACAACATTCAGTCTTTATTGTATATAGCAATTGGAAATTGTAATGTTCTGTTATTACTTTAAGGAAGTCTTTAGAATTTATGACTAAAATTTTAATCTATGTGATTTTATCAGGGAGTCATAAACTGTCTGGGATATTGCCAAGAATATATATTCACATATGTACTGTAAGCAATAAACTAGAGCAGTGATCTAGGACTCTCCCAGGAATTAAAAAAAATCAAAATTATTTGGCAGCCTATGCTGAAAAATACAATATTAAAATTCCATCAAATAATCATGAGAAGGAAATGCATCAATTTTAATTTTTAATATGATAAATATTGATATATATAATCCATCCAAACAAAAGCTCTTTTGGGGACCTCCATAATTTTTAAAAGTGGGAAAGAGCCCTGAGAGAAAAAAGTTTAAGAAACACTGAACTAAAGTATCTTCAGTGTAATGTAAAATGTGACATTTTATAATACTAGAAAAGCTGAACATTTATCTAAAATTACCAAGACCATAAATTATACATTTTCACTATGTATACTTATTATTTATTTGTTAAATATATTATGCATAGTTATTACCATTAACAAATAGTGGTTATTATTACCATCATTTTATTAATCAATAAAATAAAAAACAATTCTTAATCAAATTAACCTATAAATATACATAACTGTGTTATAGTATGAATCTGTATGCCTTATTTTTTTTGTACCATCTTCCAAACAATTTACAATTAAAAGACAAACTAACAATTATAAAATTAATTTTGAGAAAAAAATTAGAAGCCATTCTTAAAGACTGGGTATGCAATCTGGGGATGTGTGTAAGTGCACTAAGGTGCCTATTGTCCCTGTCGCATTTTAGTTTTTTTCATTTTGTTTGTTCAAATTTGTAATTTTGTTTGATAAATGAATGAATGAATAGGTAAGTAAAAAATAGTGGCTATTCTAGCTATAAGTAATTTTGGCTTCATAGAAAATCAACATCTTGAATTGTATATAGAACTATTAAGCCAGTTGGGTATTTTTAATTCATCTGAATATTATCAAATCTATGAATTAATCTGGATTCTGTGCTCTAAATCAGCGGTCCCCAACCTTTCCATCTTGGTGGCCTGCCCTGACATGGGAGAAGGGACGTAGGAGTGGCAGGCACGTGCGTAGTTCCACTTGTGCAAGCAGAGCGCATGCATGCCCTCTCCTCACGCAAATGGAGATCAAGCATGAGTGAAGGGTCCTTGCACTCATATGCGAAGCTCCACTCGCAGCTGATAATTGCGCTTGGGAATGAAGCTCCGCTCATGTGAGTGGAGACTCCTTGAGTGGAGGGTCTTTGCGCTTGCGAAGTTCTACTCCCACTTCATGTGCGAGCACAAGCACCCTCTGCTAGTTCGAATGGAGCTTCGTGTGCACTTGCCCACCACTTGTGCGAGTGGAGCTTCACGCACACATGCTTGCCCATTTCTCCCACGGTCAGGTTTCGAACAGACTGCGGCCCAAGGGTTGGGGACCCCTGCTCTAAATGATTTGGAATGGATGTTATTTCTCCTGTGCCATTAAAATATCATTAATGGACAAGCTTGTTAAAGCAGTTTTTTATTTATGAACTCTTTGCCTTTGCAATAGATTCACTTACTTTCAAATCAGATTGGAAAGTTTTCAGATGTTCATCCTCACTATATTTATATATTGCTGGCTCATATATTGCTTCTTCCAGTTTTTTTGAATCCACACATTCCTTTTTTCCAGAGATCTGATATCCTGCAAAATCAGGATTCCTAATATTCTGTTGTGTACTTGTATTTTTTCTGAGTTCTGCTTCTGATCCAGAATTATGACTTTCAATATCATCCAGAACGGAATCCATGCCATTTTCATGAGAGTTAGTTGAAAAAGTAAAGAGCGTAGTTTTTTCAACATTCTCCAAAGAAAAAACAGCTTTGCAAAACTGATTTTGATTCTCATATGACAATTTATTATTATTCTCAGTGTCCTGGAGTTTTTGTAACTTCTGAAATTGATTTTCATAACTAGATTCTTTTTCAACTGTATGTTTAGGCTGTTCCTTATTTACCTTGTTAGTAATTGTATGGTCATATGAAGATTCAGAATGACCAGATATAAAAGCTTCAGAAATATTAGTACCATCTTGCATCTTTTCATTTTGTACATTGTGTGGTTCATTATTACACTTAAACTGATTTGCTTCCCTCTCATGTTCATTTTCTCTGGAATGTTCTTTCCCTCCTAATTTGTCAACATATTCATCTTCCTTATCTTGTGCCTTGGTCCAATATTTTTTTATGTTTTCTTCCTCCCTTTCTGTATTGAAGTGCTCCTCCATTTCTTTTATTTTTTCCTCCTCCTCCTCCTCTTCTTCCTCCTCCTCTTCTTCCTCCTCCTCCTCTTCTTCCTCCTCCTCCTCTTCCTTTTCCTCCTCTTTTTCATTTTTCTTCTCTTCTTTCCTCTTCCCATCAAATTCTTCTTCCTTATTGCTTGCAAAAGAACTATCAGAATCATTTAATTCTTGCTTATTGTGGTTAATTTTTTTTTGCATATTTTCTTTTGACTGATTTTTGTTTTCATTGTCTTCACAAAATCACATGTGGGTATAAAAACATACAATAAATAATAAAATACAATGGATAAATTCAAACTTATTACCTGTTTAGAATGCAATGTTCTCTGGGAACATTTGGAAAAGGAGCCAGGTGAGGAATGGACAGAATGAGGGAAGGTTTTGACTTGGAACAAAGGCTTAGGAAGGGATTCATTGCATTCTTCAAATTCATAATCTGCTTTATTTTGCTGTGAACTGCCTAAGGGTTCTGTTCGGAAAGTGCAATCTTTCTCATCTACTGTATCAAAATACAAACACACACAGAGAGATTAAAACATTAAATTAATGTTTTCTGTAGATAAGCCGTATAATCATAACTTATTTTGTTCAAGCAACTTACATTTTTTCAAGAAGTCCCATGGAACTTTCATTAGCTGAGCCAAACTTGGTTTTTCTGGTTTCTAACAATAAAAGTTGAAATGGACAGAAGTTTTCACTGTAACAAGCATTGCTATATATCTTTATATTTTGCTCTTCTTTCAAAAAACCTAGAGTTATAAATGTATCAACCCTCCCCTTTCCTATTTTATTCTGCAAACAATGTATGAGCTAAGTCAAACTTAAAACAGTATGGAACTTCTGTCTTCCTGATCTAGTCCAAACTTCTATCCATAGTAATACCACACTGATAAAAACATATTATTTTAATTCTAGCCACCTGACTAGGGTGCTTTAGTTTGGAATATTGCATTAAGCAAGAGATTGAATTTTTGAATAAATAGCCTCTTTTAATTCTGATTCTATGCATATTTTTCAAATGACAAAAAGTGACCCAGATATTACCATGTTTCTTTGAAAATAAAACCCTGTCTTATATTTTTTTGAACCCTGAAATAAGCGCTTGGCCTTATTGCCATGCGTTCAAAAGCCCAATTGGACTTATTATCAGGGGATGTCTTATTTTGGGGAAAACAGGGTAGTACAAAATCATACTCAATCCAGAGCTCAGCACAGCTTTTTCAAACGGTCTCATCTTAGAAAATACTTCCTGTTCCAATGTTTTTTTTCCAAATTCAAAACCAAACTTTTTGTTCTAAGATTGGGGTATTTTGTTCTACATGATTTTATGTTCAGTGACTGGCTAGTTTTAAATACTTACATACCATGAAGTATGAAGAATTATCAATCAATAAAACAGCAAGTTCATCCTATTCTTGCTACTATTCAATGGAACTAGTTAAAGGGCTGGAGTGCAGAAGAGCAATTAAAAGCACATATTTAGAGAATGGAAACAATTTCAGAATTATTGGTTATAGAATAGTTTTATAATACATTTAAATTACAATTTTATGTAGTTAATCAATATCATATGCTTGGGTGCTTATTAGTATGAAAGTGAATAAGTATGCATTTGCTTTGAACCAAATCTACCATCTGTTGCCTGTTTCTTCTCTGGGCTCAGTTCTGTGGCACAGGTCTGCCAAGGTGCAAAATATGGGCTTAACTGCTGTTTACATTGTTTGCTATAGGAATTCTTTTGAATGTTTTAATCTCTTTTCCTGTAGAATGGGTATTGGTGGAGCTTGAATGGCCTGCTCTCCCTCCTATTTTTGTGAAACTAGAACAAAAACCAAAGCATTTGTTTTAAATTCTCAACATTCTCCACAGTGGAACACTATGAATTATTTTCTTTCACATGAAATAACCGTATTTTTCAGAGTATAAGATGCACCAGAGTATAAGATGCACCTACCTTTTTTGGTTGTTTTTTTTTTTAAGTTTTTTTTTTATTTTTTAGAGAAACACACATACAAACATACAATGTATTTTCTTTGAACAGAGTGTTTGGCTGGTTCACAAATTTAAATAGTGTTTAGTCATTTCAATTAAATTTACAATTTCTATATTTCCTTTTTGCCATATTTATTCCTCCTCTATTTTTTTAAAAAACTCAATATTACCCTTCATCCTCATCTCTAATCTTAATCAAATTCAATTTTTCCCTTCTATTCTATATTATACCCCTTCCCATTGTCATCTATTTTTATATCCATCCTCACATTGGTTAATTATTTAATATTACAATTGTTTAATAAAAATTCAACATTTTTATATAAATCAATTAGTTATAACTATGTTTTTTGTATATTAATCAATATGAACATGAATATTTCAATTATTTGCATGCAATCCAATTTCTTACAAATCAATTAATTATATTTACCAATAATAATAAACCAAATAATTTTCCCCATATATTCCTCCAAACCACAACTTAACCATTTCTGCTTTCAACACAATATACAATTAATAGTATCTCAATTATTACAATTCCATAGTTAAATAGAGCTTTTTTTCTTTTGTGTTTTAAAATCTTGAACTCTCTTTTGCTCTAAATTTCCCATTGTTTGCACCTACCTTTTTTGGTGAGAAAAAAGAAAAAGAAATCTCTCTCTGCCTCATTTTGTCAGGTTGCAGCAAAGAGCCTGCTTTACTTTCAGTTTCGTTTTTTCAGCATAGCTAGGGAAAAAAAATCTGCTCCAGCACTTTTTGCAGCAAGCAGGAGAGCTCTGCACAAAACAGCTGAGAGCAAATCAGCTGAGTCGGGAGGCCGATCTAATCAACCTGTGCTAATTAACCTATGCTGAAGCTGAAAGGGGCTGTTTTTTCTTGCTGTTTGCTTGCAAGGAGGTAACTGCTGCGACGCACCTAAATTTTCATCCCCTTTTGGGGGGTAAAAAGGTACGTCTTATACTTCGAAAAATACAGTAGTTAAAAGTATTTTGAACTACTGTATTGGAAACAAGGCACATGAATATTTCTGATGGAACCATCACAAAAGGAGATGTTTTGTTGTGATTGCAGGTCAAAATATGTTTTCTGATTCAGAAAACTATAGGGCATTTTTCAGGTAGTATCCACATTCTTGAAACTAGGATAGGATATTCAAACTGCTCTACCTGTTCCCTTATTCCATGGCTGCATTCAAATCTCAGATTAAAACCTTTTGCTTTAGTTTTCCTGTAATTTCATTTAGAATCTCATCTGTAAAGTCTGAATACTGATTAGCTATAACAATCAATAACAGTAGCACTTAAGACTTATATATCACTTCATAGTGCTTTACAGCCCTTTCTAAGTGATTTACAAAGTCAGCATATTGCCCCCAACAATCTGGATCTTCATTTTACTGACCTCAGAAAGATGGAAGGCTGAGTCAACATTGAGCCTGTGAGACTCGAACTGCCGAAGTGCAGCCAATTGGCCATCAGCAGAATTAGCCTATAATACTGCATTCTAACCACTGCACCACCACAGCTCAAGCTGTATGTATTGCATTAAACTTAAGATCTAAATTGAAGTTCATATTTTCTTTCCATCCAAACAAGTGTTAATTAGTACCATAACAAATCTCTCATTGTTAGAGGTTTTGAGTGTTCATTGTACAAAATCCTACCTTGGGACTGGAGCCTAGTTCCTCCTCTTCTGAAGAAAGCCAGCTATCATCATCTGTTTTTTCAGAATTGCTTAAACAGAGATGCATATATATATATATAAATAAGAATCTATCCTTTTCCGGAACTTCCTGAATTTAAATCAAAATTTAAATCTTACCTTATAGAATCTCCAGAAGAGTGGTTATCAAAAACTGTAAAAAAATCCAGACACAAAGGAAAATAAAAATGCATTCAAGGTACAAAAAATTATAAAGATTTTTTAATATTACAGTAAATCAAACTGCAGAAGTTTAAATGAAGAAAAATATCTTAAAAATAAAAAAAACTTACTCAGTAGCTATACAAAAGTTGGCAAACATTATTTAATTAATTTTTGTATTTATTGTAAGCTTATCCAATTTTTAAACTGGAAGTTATATTCGGTATAAATATTTGCAGTCAATTGCATCTTAGATTGCACAGAAGTTCATATTTAACACTTTTACTTCTTGTTTTATGGAATTTCCATTTCCATAGTAGCAATTTTATATTTTTCAATAAAAGAATTACATGTTATTCTAAGAGTGAAATATGAAAAAAGCTCACATGCACAAAAAAACAAAAAAAGGACCCAAGCATATGATGTAGATCAGAGGTGTCAAACTCGATTTCATTGAGGCCGGATCAGCATTGTGCTTGTCCTCCAGGAGTGTGGACGGGGGATGTGGCCAGATCGACTTCACTCGCATGAGGGCGCCTCTGGGGGCTGGGTAGGGATCAGGGGTCTTCGGTGGGTGGGGGAGTTGATGGGGGGCCGAGGGATGACATGAGGCGAGGCAGGGAGTGGCACAACTGCAGCCAGAAACCATCGGCCCCCGTGAGCTTGCCGCCCTTTCTGCGTGGGGGCCGATGGTTTCCAGCAGGCTGCAGCCCCTCAGTTGGCACACTCTGTGGCTCCGGAGCCCATTGCCACCACCGGGCTGGCCATCCAAGCAGCAGGTGCGGTGGAAGCATCAGCAACAGGCTGAGCTGGGGGAAAGGCCCATGATGAGGACCGCTGGATGTGCTTAGTCCATCCCACTGTCTGTTTTGGCTTGTGGTAGGAGAGCAAGTCGCTGCTGGTCATCTTCTCCCCGGCCCCCTCACGGGTCTTCCCCTTGGCTAGCACATGGAGTGCATTCCCTTCACACTCCCAGTGCACCTCAGCCCCCCTCAGCAGACTCGCTGAGCCCAAAGGAGACGAAATGGCCAGCTAGAAAGGCCAAGTAGAGGTGATAGAGCACATCCAGGCCCAGCTGGAGAAAGGCTGCCACTGCAAACGAGGAAAGCCGGATCCCCATCGGCGCCATGGCCACCCAGGCCTAGCAGAAATGGGGGGAGGCACGCGATCCTGACTGGGCCTGGGCTGCCCTGATGCCGATGGGGATCCGGCTTTTCCTGATGGCTGCCTTTTGCCTGCTGGGCCTGGGTGTGCTCTACACCTCTACTCGGTCTTTCTAGGTTGCTGCTTCACCTCCTTCGGGCTGGAAGGGCCTGGTCCTCTGGGTGGTGACAGCAGTGGTCTAATGGAAATGCGCCAGCCACTGGCAGCCTCGGTGGTCACAGCAGCCCACAGCAGTGCAAAGGTGCTTTGCGTGTGCAAAGGGAACTCCATGCACTGACCAAGGGCAAGACCTGCAATGGGGTCAAGGAGATGACCAGCAGCGACCTGCTTTCCAACCTCAAGCAAAAACAGACAGGTGAAGTAGGCAGCTACTGCCCCCCCACCACCACTTTGTCTTGGCCCGTGGCGGAGGCAGTAGCCGGAAGCAGAGGTGCAAGGGAGTGGCATGAGGTCTGGCCTGCTGGATGCACCGGGCAACTGCCTGCCCCGTTCCAGCCATGTGGGATGGAGAAGGCACGTCCAGTAGTTCACATTACGTACCTATCCTGACTCTCGTCGGCTCCCGGTGCCACCGCCATGCCTGCTTCTTGGAGGGCTAGCCCGGTGGTTGCAGAGGGCTGTGGAGCCCGTGCTGCAGGGCACCTCCCCCCGTGCACGCACACAAAAGGCTGGCGAGCGGGGTATGGAAACTGCAACCTGGTGGTGGCCATCCGGGCCGGACCACGGCCAACCTTAGATCCGTTCCCTGGGTGTGTGCATAGGAGGCGAGCGCTGGCATCCTGGGTGAAAGGGAAGCACTCAGAACACAGTCCTCAGAGACGCCAGGTCCCATATGCTCGCCGCCTTCTGTGTGCACATTCAAGGGAAGGGGCCATGAATCAAAGGCTGGCTGCGGTCTGGCCCAGATGACTGCTCCAAGATTGCAGATTAGTGCCCAGTCAGCCTGGGCCAGGCCAAGGCCCTATGAGATGGTCCTTTGCTGTTTCTCGGGCGGTCCCGCAGGCCAGATCTAACCACCTTGTGGGCCAAATCTGACCCACAGGCCTTGAGTTTGAGACCCCTGATGTAGATTAACAAACTGCATGAAGTTGCTATGGCGATAAAAGAGCATCCAATTTGATAAATAAATAAAAATAAATAACAAGTTCATTCTTGCGATAAAACCAACCGGGTACCTGAGGCTTGGGATCAAAAACTCAGTTCAGCCATTGTTATAAATTTTCACCCAAACTCTACAAAGTCTATATACGAGCCTACAAAGTTAGTTAAGTTTACTACTATATGTCTATACTCTCTGCTGACTTGTGATAGTTTAGGCACAAATGTTTAGCTATCTTGTTAAAGGCTTATAAAATCACATGCTTAATATCTATGGAAAACTGCTCAAAAAGAGGGTTTTAGGATTGGATGCAATTTGTGACTGAATGAAATTTAGTTTTAACTTCTTCAGATCACAGAGGAAATGAAAAATTCTAAACTAACATCTGTATAGTTATGAAGTAGATAGTGGGAAGAAAACTGACATTTGATATATTTAATTCAGAATTATTTTCTGCTTCAATTGTGGTTATTATTTCTTTTTATATTTTATTTCTAATTTCATAATATAAATTTATGTGTAGGGTTACGTGTGAGCATGGAATTATTTTAAGCTTCGTGGGGTATTTTGTTTAAAAGACTTGAAATATTAGGAACGAAGAACTAGAACGAATATTGTAATAGTTTTCAGGTCTGACTTGACAGCTGCCTCTGCGTAGTAACCCCCACTACCTGTCTCTGTCACACAAAATAATCATATTATGCAAATTACGCACAAGATAAATCTGTGCAAGGCCTTCTTGACCACAGTTGCTGTAACTAAAAAACACCCTAGAATCTGATGGGCCATAAATCTAGTCACTTGGTTCTATTAATATTTAAGGTTGTTCTTCTCATTCAAGCCTTGACAGCTCCAGGCATTGGGACAAGCCTTTAATAGTACTTGTTCAGTAACTGGATGATATACATAGCTGAGTATCATCCATCTATTGATTATACATGACATGAAGCTGATAGATGACTTTTCCCAATAGTTTCATATAAACGTTAAACTAAAGTGGCAAGAATACTGAGCTCTAAGGCACCATGCAAACTAAGGAATTAAGACTCAACCTCTCTCCTTGCATCAGCAGGTCAGGGAAAAAAAACAATCACTAGAACACATGCTTCACAGTCCCCTTCCCAGTCCTGAATTATCTCAGTATCAATGGTATTGAAAGCTATTAAGAAATCAAGGAGAACCAAGGATGGTTGCACAACCATCATCCTGGATAAGCCAGAGGTTATAAATATGCAAGATTATGCCTCAATAAACAAATTCAGGTCTGCCAAGTCAGAGTCCACCTCAAAGCAAATCCAGGATACTTTATTTGTCAGATGCCTAAAATATTCCTCGTAGCAGTCCTATGGATATTCTTGTGGGAGTATTTTCATTTTAAAATGGGCTGCTGGTTTGCATCTGTGGATGCCCAAAAGTAGAAAAGTTGTTATATTTTGCTGCTTTTATCACCATGATATAATTGTTAACATGATTATTACATATGTTCAGTCAGATTTACTCTGTTATTCTTCAATAGTGGTCTAAGCAATTCTTCTATCATCCCCCAGATCTTATTCAAAAATCAATGAATTCCATGGGATGAAAAACACGAAGATACACCAATAGGAACAATTCAAAGATCCCCTGTCACAAGCCAATTTCAAGTGCAATTAAGGGCTTAACTCAAACTGATTAACAGAATCATATCCCCTTGCAAAATTCTTTTCTCTGAAACTAATTCAGGTTCATCAGTTGACATCTAAGGTCCTTGGTGCTCTCTGAGTGTGATTGTTTTCTTGCAGACCTTTAATTACCCAAACTAGATAACATCATCAGTGCTAATAGGGAGTGGGGTTTGCGTTCAGTTTATATCCTAGTGGCTTACTTGTCATTGTCCATGGGAGAGTCTTGATGGTTCTTTAATTGGGCTCTTTACTGTTTGTGTGAGATCTGCCATCTTCAGCTTAGTACTTTTCTGGTAGTCTGCCATAAATTGTTAGGGGGCTAGGGGGAAGAGGAAATAGGCAATTGGTATGTATAGGGACAAAACTAGCCAAAGGGGAGGAGGTGACAAGTTTGACAGAAGCCAGAGGTGTCAGAACCAGCCTGTTCCAGTCTTCAAGGCCACAAAGCCTGGGAAAGGAATAAGAACTGTACCAAGTGGCATCAAACATCCGAGCAGCTCCTAAAACACCTAGGCAGCACACCATTGGACGAAGTCAAACCAGCTAAGGGGTGAAGGCTGGGGAGAAGGGGGAGTACTGTAACTCTTTGCGTGCAAACTTTAGTTCTAGCCTATTTTCACTGCAACCACTAATCCTTAGTAAAAGAAACTGTCACACCAACCAAATGGAGTCGACAATCTTTATTTCCCAGAGACCTAGTTAGGGGAAGTCTGATATTAGGCTAGAACTGCTATAGGGTCATCCCAGAGAGATATAATTTGACAGTTCCTTGATTTGGGTATTATTTACTTCTTCATTAATATTAATTATTTTTAGACTTGGCTTGGTCTAGGATAGTCACAGCTTCCCAGTTGAAACTATTAATATTTTGATATAATTTTTATCTTTTATGATTGTAAGCCTCCCAGAAATACCTTCAGCTAAGATGGGTGGCCTATAAATTTAACAAAGAAACAAACAAATAAACACTATTTAGACAAGCACAATCATACTACAGCAACCCTAAACATATGAAAAAGGAAACATATCTATACAATCTTTCAACACAATGAATATCCACACAACTTCATCAAAAAATGCCTGATCACTCAACTGAATGTATCACAACCCAAGCTGTAAAAAGGATAAATTACATCAAAAACAACTCAGAGACCACCAATAGACTATTACAACCATGTGGCATCCACGTAGCATAGAAATCAACTAAACCCCTCCAAAATATTGTAAGTAAACCAAAAGATGCAGCAGTCTCAAAAGAAAAAACAGGAGTCATCTATAACGTACAATGTAATGACTACAACAGCCACTACATAGGATAAACAGGCAGAAGACTAGCAGAATGCATCCATGAACAACAACTAGCAGTCAGAAGACATGATGAAAACTCCTTAATTTCACAACACATGGACAGACTTAACCATAGTTTTAACTGGAAAACTGTGACTATCCTAGACCAAACCAAGTCCAAAAAATGCTAGAGAATTTCTGGAAGCCTAGCATTGAGTAATCGGCCATCAATACACACATAGACATAAACAACATGTACTGTATATACCATTCAAAAGACAATCAACAAGCCAAAAAGGCAACAAAAAGACCAATACTCTACCAGCATTCAACACCCAAATGAGCAAATATTAACCGAGATTAACATCAGATCAACAATCAAGAAATAAACAATACCCCAATCATGTACTTGCAAAGCAAGCTAACAGTAAACAGCCTAACTACCAACACCACTCCCACCAATATTGATAGGGCAAGCCACATATAAATTGAGAGCAAACCCACTCCCCCCCCCAGCACTGATGGTGTAACCTAGTTTGGGTAATGAAACATCTGCAAGAAAACAACCAAGCGCAGAGAGCATCCACACTTCATTTCAACCCTGGGCTACAAATATTGTCCTCTATCACTATCTTTTCTAAAACGAGTAAGAACAAAACAAGAAAGTTATCCATATTATGAACTATACATTTAAATAAATTATTACTGATTTGACCTGTACAGACAGTTACTCCTTTCCTCAAATCCCTTCCTGACTTGTTGAGCAATTCCTGCACTTCGCTATCTATTTTTCTATTTAGCACAAAACCAAATAAGTGACAATAAAAATTCAGAATCTAAACATGTATCAGCTTATAAATAGTAATTGTAGCAATCACATTAAAAAAGAATAATACATTTAAATTCTCTGTCCAATGGTATTTTCCCCTTGTTCTTTGAAAATTAAAACCACAACTAGATCTCCAAATACCACCTTACATGGAATATCATAATTATTTGTTCGAATTTTGATTCAACTGTTATATTATTTGTAGACACTTTCCTAATGCCCAAACTGGCTATTTACTGATATTCAGAATATTTATATATATATATATATATATTTATATTTATATTTATATATTTATATATATCAAGGAAAAATTTAAAAAGCCCTTTGCTCCCTCATTTTTTTCTTCCTGGAATCAGCAAGAGTACTATTCACCCATTCAGTCCCTACAAAAACAACAACAACAATAGTAATAATAGTCAGCCAATTGTAAAAGGTAGCTTTACTTGGAATAGTTTATATCCTCTAATGATGAAAAAAATCTGCCTATCCCAGGTCCCTGGACAGCATTCAACAAGTGGATAAAAATGCCAAATCCAGTCTAAACATCTGGCTGACAGTGAAATGAACCATAATAATCCCTAACAATAAAAGTAATAATTATTTTTTTTTGTAAACTCTATCTATAAAACTGAACTAATCTTGGAGCACACTGCTCCAAATATTCAACTAACATAAACAGATTTCAAAATTTTCAACTTAAAAAATTCAAAGAAAATTGTATCAATAATTCTCAGCCCATTTTTGTATTTAAGCAGCTTCCCTATAAAAGAAAGCTCATCCACAGACACCACAAGAACATCACTACAGTATATACAATTCAAGCCATTTAATTTTCTCTTAGCTAAAACATTAAACACAGCAGCAATTTTCCATACCAAGAAGATAGCAATCTTTTTCTAAATCCAGCCAACTGATTGCTGAGAGTAGACCGACTCAACATCAAACCAAGCTTTCTTGTCTATCCCCATTCCTCAGGATAAATGAGGAGTAGGGCTTAATAGCAACTTTGTCAATAATAAAATGTTAGTTAGGGGAATAGTTTTGAAAAGGAAGCAATGGGCATTCAACTCCTAAGAACAAGTTGAGAAACTGATTATGGGGACATAAGTCTTGAGAAATACCACTGCTCCATTAAGAAATAAAGAAAAAATAAATTGTAGGATGTCAATACATCAGCTATCTAGCAATATCCTATTTCTCAGAAGTCTAACTGGAATGAAAATGTGGCAAATCACCACTACTACATCTGATCAGAATTGTTTATTGGCTTCCACCAAAAAGGAACAAATCTATCTTTGTTTGCCTTGCTTATAGAGTTCCTCAGTATTATTCAAGGAACCTGCAGAATGTTTTCCTTGACAAAATTGTTACTATCCCTCAAGAGGAGACTGGCATCCCTGTTGCCAAGGGAAATCCATGGCTGGAACTGGACTCCTGCTGACATTCTAGCCTCTTTTTCCTGCCTATGGCCTGTTAGTTCTCCTACGCCAAGACTATTTTGCAACCTGCAGTTCTATTCACAATAGATATATCAATGCTGATGATGCTTCCCTTAGAAGCATACAAGCTCTTAATACATATGTGCTTCACTTATAATTTGTCACCTTTGTGCTGTGTTGGAAATATTCTGCAAACCTATAGTACAAAATAAACATTTTTTATAAACAATAGCAGTAATATCTACTTCCATTTGGGAAGGGGCAGAATTGTACTAATTGACCAGCCATTTGTCCTATATAAAACTTTACCTTCTTTATTTTTAGCAGGAGCACCAAGTATAATACCAGTATCTCCGTCTTTTTCTGGACTGTTTAATATAGGCAGAACTTTTTGACCATCAAATGAGCCCTCTTCTCTATTTTTGTAGTCGGAATATTTAGCAACATACTGCTTAAGACTAAAAGGAAAAAAAATATTTTATTCAATATTGACACATTTTAATAAAACAAAAGTAATCTCAACACAGAAGAACAATGTTAAATAAAAAGCAATAACTTAGTTGTTTGCCTGCTATTTTAACACCCTGTTAATATGTTATCTAATCTTAAACCATGTTATGCTTTTTGTTTTCATAAAGGATAGTTTTGTTTCTTGATTATGTGACAATGAAAAGACAAATGTTTCAGCTTACATGGAATCATCACTAATCATAGCATAATCTTTTGCTGACCATCCACTTTTATCTCTATGGGCAACATTCGATCCATGATGGAGGAGAACATGTGTTAAGTCACGTTTTTTATTAGAAGCAGCAATCAGTAGTGGAATTCTGAAAGAGAAGAACACCTCAATTACTGCATATAATCAAACCTTCACTAATACTTTAACATCCTGTATTTATTCAGCATTATTTCCTCTTGCAAAAAGACAGAGGAGCTTTCACATTATACAAAGCTCCAATTATTTATTAATTAATTAATTTAGTGTATGGCATCTCTTACATGGACTACATACTAACATTTCACCTAGATTAGTAAACACAATAAAATATAAATGTTAAACAGATCTATGTTTAAATACCAATGTCTAGGCCATCTAACAATTGAAGCACAGCATCGTTTCAGCTTACATCTAGTTATGATATGATTTACCATGACATGAGACCCCGCAGTCACACTGAGTGGAAGACAATATGTCCCATTTATACAGAGAGTCTTGGTAGACGCCCTGTGAGGTGCGAATCCTGTTCAGGATTTTCCATTACGGACATGGTAGTTCAAAGCCTGGCACCATTTTTGTGGGGTCATTTATATGATTTATGTCTGCGCATTCCTGACCCATTTGGCTTTCCACTGGGAATCGATGTTAAAGTTGTTGGGCAGATGTTGTCAAGTGCCAGTGGGGGCTTCCTGGATTTGTGTCTTCCAGCTGATAAATGAGGAAGGTCAGCATGCACTTGTAGGAGTGTGTTGCTCTTATTTTTTCTGTATTCTCTCATTTATGCATCTTGCCTTCATAAAGTTGGCAGTGTTATATTCCTCAGAACAGGAAGCTAGAAATTTGGTGTGGTTTTAATACATCTGTTTATAATCCTCATGGTGTCGTTGAATCTACATCTAACATTAGTATGGCAGCTGTTAAGCCATACCGGGGCATAGTATTCTGTTGCAGAGTAGACCAACTAGTGCTGATAGGTTGAGGGTGACAGCTGAAGCTCCCCATTTAGTTCCATATAATTTCTACAGTATGTTGTTCCTAGTATTGATTTTTGCCGCCATATTCTCTAGGTGTATCATGTAGAAGAGAATCCAATCCAATGTTACTCAAGGTACTTTGGATGGGGATTATAGGGGAGTAGGTTGTTGTTTAAATAGACCTTTGGGGCTTCAGATGCCAGTTTGTTGTTAACGTGGAAGCACATAGTTATTGTTTTGCTGGTGCTAGGAGTGAACCTCCAATCAGTTAAGAATTTTCCCAAGATTTTAAGATCTTTGGACAGGAGGCAGTCAACCACCTCCATGTTTTTCTTGTACTGCTATGGCCAAATCATCAGCATATCCAAATTTGTGTCCCCTTGTTGCAATTTGTATAAGCTGAATAGTGTAGGTGCCATTACAGAGCCTTGTGAGAGGCCATTGTTTAATCTTAATTATGTTGTCCCCCATTTTTATCTGAAAGGACCTATCACTCAGCATGTTATAATTAGTCAATAGAGATTTTTGCAGGGGATATTACGAAACAGTTTATATAACAACCTGTCCTTCCAAACCGTATGCTAGTTAGGTCTATAAACACGGCCGTGGTTTTGAGGCATGGTTGGAATCTTGCTTCAGTATAAGTCTGTTAAGCTTAGCACCTGGTCTACACAGTCATATTGGAAGCCGGATTGTTCCACAGGCAGATGTTCATCTATTATGGGACCTATCCAGTTTATAATGAATCTTTCCTGGAGTTGTAGCAGGAGCTAAAAAGGCCAATGGGCAGTAGCTTTCAACTCTGTCTTATGGTTTGACAGGTTTTGTAAGTGATATTATTTTAGCTTTTTTGAATTATGGTGAGAGGCAGCCATTGGAAATTACGTCTGGGAGGAATTTACTAATCCAATTCCGTGTGCACCTTTTGGAGTTTATCATGAATTTTCGTTGAATGGCATCAAAGCCTGGTGCTTTACTGCATTTCAGACTATCAATGGCAGTGTCAAATTCCTTTATAGAGAAGGGACAAGAGTACTATATAAAAGTTCCAATATTTTATATTTAATAAGCAAAATATATACAAAGACACAACATCTGTGTCAAATGAAGTGTTCTTTGTTTTGTGTGTAAGACTTAGGACAGTAACTGCCTTTTAAAAATAACTTTTAACAGAATTAATCTCTTCCCTTTTTATCAGAGGAATCTATGAAATCATAAATGCATTAGCAGGATCATTAAATTAATGCTAACAGAAAGTTCCCCTCAATAAAAGGTGTTAGGGGAGAAAGAATATGAAGATTTGTTTATTACAAAAAAAAATAAACTAAGTATAAAAGCTAACCATGTGCTCTTTTTAAACTGAAAACAAATTGAAAATGGCACTGAACAGAAACATCAGTATTTTCTTTAAATGTAAACTACTTTAAGAAACCTACATTTTTTCTTTATTTTCAAGGTTTTATCTTTTGATCCCAAAGGCAGTTTATAATACAGCTGGAAACAAAACTTTTAGATAAAATTTCAGTGCAATGTTAACAATAGCACCAAGCCATTGATAAAGAATTTTTTATATTGAGAAAATGTTATTCCAGCAGACTGATTATCCGTTATATTCAGGGGCATGAACACTTAAAAACAATCCTAAAATCCTGGAAGGGTTATCAGCTACATGACCCAAACTGTACCTTCCCAATTTATCTGTGGCATGCACAGATGCTTTTTGTTGAAGAAGAAACTCTACCATTTCTCGATTATTTTCAGCCACAGCAACAATTAACGGTGTGCACCCCTCCTGCAATAAAAAAAAAAAGAAATACATATATGCATAGCTTCTGTTTCTCATTTAACAAATGCAATGAAATGCAATGTACTGTACCCAAGCCAGACAAAAAGGATAAGAAGTTTTCTTTCTTTCAGACTGTTTCTAGATGGGTTTCAGTGTGAGTTAAACATCTCTGAAATAATATTTTCTATATTTCTACTGGTACTTGGATTTAAAGTCTCAGATAATTTCAAACATTTGTGCAATATTCCAGATTTGACTATTATAACTACAAATGTTATATTGGAAAAAGTAGGGCTGCATGCAGTTTTCTTGGCAATGTTTTTTGGAAATGGTTTTTATTTGCTTCTTATTAAGGCTGAGAGAGTTAGGACTAATCCAAAATCATCCAAGTAGATGGAGGGATTGGAACTCAATCTCTCTGTTTCTAGTCCGATGCCTTTAACCACTATACCAAACGAGGCCTTTGTTTTGTACCATTTACTCCCATTGAAGATACTGTCACAATCCTACAAAAAACAAGTATATATTGTTTGCAAAGGGATAATGGGCAGTTTGTGCACGTTACCCAAATTGATGGAAAATAAGAAAAAAAACCCCAAAGATTTAAATTTGGAAGTATATATTTAATTCATGACTAAAGCACTCTGGCTCATACCTAATGACAAAACATATAGTAAATGAGGTAAATAAAGTGAGATACATGCTGGGCACATATACTAAGTTCCTCCTACTTTATTTAACAGTAGGAAGGGGTAGCTTACATGACATTTGAACCTGAGATTCTGATTAAGTATGCCCAAAACAAACCCCTATGTGAAAGCTAGCAGAAGCTTATTTAAAGGTAAATTACAAATTGTAAATCACAAAATGAAGGGATGCGGTGGCTTAGTGGGTAAGATGCTGAGCTTGTCAATCAAAAGGTCAGCAGTTCAGCGGCTCGAATCCATAGTGCTGTGTAATGGGGTGAGCTCCCATTACTTGGCCCAGCTTCTGCCAACCTAGCAGTTCGAAAGCACGTAAAAAATGCAAGTAGAAAAATAGGGACCACCTCTGGTGGGAAGGTAACAGTGTTCTGTGCACCTTTGGCACTTAGTCATGCCGACCACATGACCACAGACATCTTCAGACAGCGCTGGCTCTTCGGCTTTGAAACGGAGATGAGCACCGCCCCCTAGAGTCAGGAACGACTAGCACATATGTTCGAGGGGAACCTTTACCTTTACTTAAATTTTACAAATTGTAGTTAACTTGCTCAAGCAAAATAAGGAATGAAGAGCCTCAAGTTCCACTTTTATTATGCAACAGATACTTATATTACACATTAGTCTCAGTAAATAATGCAGTGTTTTTTTCTATAAATGATGTTAAAATATTTTTTAAAAATCAGAATATGTATTGGCTTATACAAAATCAAAAACTACTTAATATATTAAGTAAACTACTGGAATTTTACCTTATTTTGTGCTTCAATGTCAGCTTTCTTTTCAAGCAGATATTTTGCTAGAGATACACTAGAATTACTGGCAGCAAAGTGGAGGGCAGTGTTGTTGTCTATGTCCTTCAAATTAGGATCTGCTCCATGTTCAAGCAGATAAATTGCACAGAATTCTTGCTGGAATTCCACCGCCTAAATATTTAAGATGATGTTAGTTCTACAACATATTTTCATATACCTAGGTAATACTGTCTATAATTTAAACAAAACAAAGCAACAGCTTTTTCTTGTCCCTTTTGATTATAAGAAGTACTAACAATTATTTATTTATTTATTTATTTATTTATTTATTTATTTATTTATTTATTTATTTCTATACCGCCTTTCTCCCGTAGGACTCAAGGCGGTGTACAGTCAAGAAAAATATAGACACACAAACATCATAAAATTGATATACTGATAGTTTTGATTAAAACGGAGTTATAGAAATTTGGCTTTATACTGCTAGTAAATTTGTACTATTTTAAATGCATACCTTCATTAATGGAGATCTCTTCTCTTTATCACAGCTATCTAGTTGGCATTTGTTGTCCACCAAGAAAGTAACAATGTCTGTATATCCATTAGCACAGGCAAAATGCAAAGGTGTTCTAAAAGAAACCATATTGTAAAAAAAGCCATATTCATTCAATAAATAACTAACAGTAGAGTACGCCTTTCTTTTTCTTAAGAACATTTTGATTTTGTATCTTTGAACTGTATTTAAAAACTAGTGTTCAGCATATGATGAACTGGAACATACCCATGTACTCTGTATACTCATTGGTAAAGCACTACAATATATAAATTGCAGATTAGTTAATTAGTTCTTCCTACTTGAAAAAATAAATTATACTTTGCAAGAAAGAATAAAGCCTAAAGAAGTGAATATTATTTGCTTGATTTCAAATACAAATATTTTGATTAAATTCCATTGAACTTAACAACTGATGACATTTATTACAAATTCTAGAATAATCCAGCCACTATTTCTCAGTCACTGATAAATATTAATGTGATGGCTGTAGAAAGGAAAGAGAAAATTCCCATTATAGAGATGGTTTATTGCAACAATCTCTTAATTAAGCTATGCTTTTTAAAACTTAAAAGAACTGTAAAACTTCCTATCATATTGAGCTGTTTTCAGGAGTCTAAGACATCAGCATTACCATCTATTATTTATAGCCAGTCTTCTCTCCATATAGCTTTCACTATGACTTTTACCTAATACAGGTAGTCCTCGACTTAACAACAGTCCATTTAGTAACAGTTGAATGGCACTGAAAAATGACATGACAATTTTCACACTTACAACTGTAGCAACATCCCTGTGATCAGGTGATCAAAATTCAGACCCTTGGCAATTGACTAATATTTACGACGGTTAGTCTCCCGGGGTCATGTGATCAACTTTTTTCTTCATGCTTTATTTGTTTAATTTATATAACACTCAATTTTCATCAAACAGTGTGTATTCTGGGTACAATTATATTTTGAGTCATATTTATACATCTTCATTATATTTAGTCATCACCATCATATTAATAATATAATAACATGATATAATCTTAATGCTTAACATTTAACATCATCTTCTTTAATCACTCTCCTCTATACCGTTTCCTCCCTTTATATCTCTTCCTTTCTAACTTCAGTTTCTATTATCTAGCCATTGATAAAATGTGTCACATATAAAAAAAATATTCAGTTTCTTCTTTATCCTTAATAGCAAGTGTTAATCTATCCATTTCTGCACAATCTAATATTTTTTAAATTACATTCTCCTCAGACAGGGTCTCATCACTTTTCCATTGTTGCGCAAATACAATTCTGACTGCCATTAATATATGCAAAATCAAATATGCAGTCTTTTTATCATAGTTTTCTGGTAGAATGCCCAGCAAAAGTATCTCTGGTTTCAGATCTATATGTAGTTTTATCATTTTTTCCAGCAATGTGTGTATTTTTGTCCAATATTTTCTCGTTCTTAGGCATGTCCACCTATGTGATTACCTTTTGTTATCAACTGTTTTGTCAACTTCTGACAAGTAAAGTCAATGGAAAGCCAGATTCACTTAAAAACCATGTTACTAACTTAACAGCAGCAGTGATTCACTCAATGATTGTGACAAGAAAGATTGTAAAATGGGGCAAAATTCACTTAAAAAATGTTTCACTTATAGCAACAGAAATTCTGACCTCAATTGTAGTCATAAGTCAAGGACTACCTATACAGGAACTAGCGGCAGAGTTCAACATATAAAAAAGTGATATATGAAAAAAGATACTTGAACAGTAGAGTTAATAGGAAGGATGTCATTTTATTAGAGACATACTATAAGAAGGGCATTTGAAGGTAGGTGCGCAATATTAAGCATAATATGGTTTAATAATATTTCCTAGTTACAGGCAATCTTCGACTTACAACCACAACTGAGCCCAAAATTTATGTTACTAAATAAGACATTTGTTAAGTTTTGCTCCATTTTACGACCTTTCTTGCCAGTTAACGGGATAACTACAGTTAAGTTAGTAACACAGTTGTTAAGTGAATCTGGTTTGCCCCATTGACTTTAGTTGTCAGAAGGTCTCAAAAGGTGATCTAATGATTTCAGGACACTGCAATCATCATAACTATGAGTCAGTTGCCGAGAGGCTGAATTTTGATCACATGACCATGGGGATGCTGCAGTGGTCGTGTGAAAAATGACCATAAGTCACTTTTTTCACTGACGTAATTTTGAATGGCCACTAAATGAACTGTTGTTAGTCAAGGACTATCTGTACAGTGTGTCCTAGTTACAGTGTGTCTGGTATAAGTGGGAAAAGAAACTAAATTATTTTCAGGAACCTACTCCCATTTATGGATGATAAAAGAACTGAACATTTTACACATTACAGGCCTCCAACCATGGGATAGTATTTATTCTTTAAGGGGTTCTTTTAAGGACACAATCCAGTTTAACGCCTCATGTCATCAAGAGGTCATAAAGTCACCTTCCCACACAGTGAAGAAGTGCTGAGGGAAACCTCAGTGCCACAGCAACCTTCAGCGCCAGACTCCGAGGAAGAGACCCTCAGGAACAAATTTCCCGCTGCCCAGCTACCTATGACATCCACACAGTCTTCCACGTGGGCATGTTTTGGACCAGTGACGGGCCTCACTGGGGGAAATCCCACCCTCCGAAGCCCGTGAAAGGAAAGCGGGTGGCCCAAGTAATCACGGAGGGATGAAGAGGAGAGCTGGTGTTTGCATGAAGACGAGGCGGGAGTCGAGCCCAGGCCTGCTCCTTCCCACCTGCCAGCTTTATCCTGTTCGTTGAGGTCGTGTTTCTGCAGGAGGTGTCGGAGTTCCCCGAGATCTCCTTCGGCCGCCGCTCGGTGCAGCTTATTCAGGTCCTTGCTCTGCAAGTTATAACCGTCGCCGCCGCTACAGATGAGAGCGCCTGGGGCTGAAGCGCAAGCCACGACGCGGCTCCGCGACGGAGACTGTCGCCCATTCTTCTTCCTCCCCAGCCCCAGGATTTTCTTCACCTTCTTCATCCTCCTGGTCGAGGAGGTGGAAGGGGGGGGGAGAAGGCTTTGAGTCACGAGGTGCGTCGCAGCATTTGCCGCCACCAAATCCCTTGTCCTGAGGTCACGAGCTCGCTGGGGAATAGCATGGCTGCCTGACGCGGTCAATGCCGGCCGTCCGCTCCGGCCGGCCGACGGCAGTTGAAACGGGGCGTCCCATCCAAGAAGTCGCGGGCATCGATTCTACGGCGTCAGAGGGAGGGAAAAGAGCAGAGGGCAAGCCGGAGCGCGGTAGCCAAGGCAACGGCTTCCCGGGGCGGCATTGCGCATGCGTGCTCAAACTTGTTTTCTTGGCGCGACCACGTTGCTTCCGAAGGCGCAGGCGCAGTCTTCCGTCATTTCTGCGTCCTGGAGTTTCCGGGAAAGTTGGTGCCGAAGGAGGTCGAAAAAACGGTTTGGGAAAGAGATCGTGGAAGTTGTAAAGCCAGCCTGAAAGTGGGCCCTGAGCCTAGTGAAGAGAACGCGAAGTAGATTGCACCCAAGGGCATGCTTCGAGCTTATTGCATGCAGCTCAGAAAACTTTGTAAGATGGGTGCCCAAAGTTGTTTATTTCTCAGAGCCTGATTGTCATCGCTTTTATCCAAATGAACTTTTGCAAGTACTAGTATAAAACTAACGTTTTTCCTTAATAATGTTTTGAATTAGTAATAATAAGAATCAACATCATCATTAAAAAGTTTGCAAATTTGAATTGTTCTCCAAAACAAACACTCCAATTCTTCAAGTCTTACCTTTGTTTACTTTGCTTTTGGAAGGTTCTTGCTACCCTTTCTAGCCCCAAAACATTACATCTAACGCTAAATTTGATAGAAAATACCATCCCTAACTTTATTAACACAAAAAGTAGGTAAAAATAAAAAAAAATATTTATTTTACGCTGGTTTGGCTTGGGTCCTACTGCCTTCAACCCTGGAATAAAGATATAAAAACTTTTATGCTAGTGTAGTAGAGCCAGTTTAGTGTAGAGGTTAAGGCATAAGGCTAGAAACTAGGAGATGGAGATTTCTAGTGTCTCCTTAGGCAGGGGTGTCTAAGCAAAGCTGGCTGGGGAATTCTGGGAGTTGAAGTCCGCCAGGTTTAAAGTTGCCAAGGTTGGAGACTCCTGTCCTTAGGCACAAGGCTAATTGGGTGACCTTGGACTAATCTTTCTCAGTCCTAGAAAAAAGGCAATGGCAAACCACCTTTGAAAAACCAAGAAAACTGCAGGAATTTGTCCAGGCAGTGTCTCAGAATCAAACATAATTGAACAGAAGAAAAAAAATAGTATTGCATGAAAACAAGAAGAAAAAATGCAAGATTGTTACTGATCAGATAAGTCTAGAGCCTTTCATTCTGTAGCATCAGATGGGTCTATGAATCCTTTGATCTGTTTTCCAAGAGAAAGGCAGGTGATAGCCAAATCTTGCTCTAGCTTCTGCCTCAGTTTACTTTCCCAATAAGCAACCGAGTTGGAAGATCATTTAAAAGCAGTTTATAAAGTGAAATCTCTATGAAAAAGAAGAGAGAGAACCTTGACCCCCATGTTTCATTCCTTTTTATAGTTAACACAGCAAAGAAAATGCAAGAGGAAAGTTGATTGGACAGGATAAATGTAACCTTACCTTTCCATAGGAAATCAATTACATATTTGCATCCCATAATATCACACGTTCGTTACAATGAGGTCAGAAGGGGCATAAATTGTAAGGAAAAAGGATGTTTGGAGTTCACAAAAGAGAGAAACCAGATCCCAGTTTGCACTAACATTTTTTTTTCTTATGTCTGTTTATCAGTTCTGGAATGTTAAAAGCTAATAAACCCGAACATCATTTTAAAAGAGAGAAAATAAATCAAATTAAAATACAAAGTAACTATGTTAAAAAGCAAGTTACAAAATTCATGTTATGTGCCCCTCACAGATAATTACTGGATTCATAAAAAATGCTTGCTCCTTGCTCCATTTTTTTTGGTAGATTTAAAGATTTTTAGAAAGAACAATAAAGTAAAAGTGAAAGAAAAATGCAAGAAAATAAAAATATAAGAAGAAATCCCCCTTTAAGAAAACAAATTGCCATCCTCGTAACAAATATAAACAATTCCATAGTCTCTTCACCCCCTTTTATTATAAATTATAAAACTTTTCATCCATAACTAATTTGTTATAAATAGGCAAATCAAAGAAGTAACATCTTCTCCTTATCCAATTATCAGTAAAACTAAACAGCTCTAAAATATTAATATTAACACCTAAAACTCAATTTTTCACACTGAATTCTTAGCCCTAAACAAAAACCCCATTTAAAAGGCATAAAAAGGTTCCAATATCCTACTGTTAACAAACAAAATGTAAAGATTAATAAGATACAGACTATTTCTTCTTTAAAAAAGACACATTTCTTCTATTCCAAATGATAGCAATTTCAGAGTGAACCATCCTAAATAACAATTTGTTCCACTCAGTGGTGAAATCCAAATATTTTTACTACTGGTTCTGTGGGCGTGGCTTTGTGGGTGTGGTGTGGCCTGGTGGGCATGGCAGGGGAAGCATATTGCAAAATCTCCATTGCCACCCCCCTCTGGGGCCAGCCAAACGTGGTATTTGCTGGTTCTCTGAACTACTCAAAATTTCCGCTCCCAGTTCTCCAGAACCTGCTGGATTTCAGTCCTGGTCCCACTCAAATAAGCATTCTATATCTCAACTCTAAAATATTCACATATATAAAGTAATTCTGGCATCTGAATTTAAATAGAAACTAAAGTTTCATATAACAAAAAGAGAGTTTCTCTTTTAAAAAATGGCATAGTTTCCAGAATTGGATACAAAACATTTAGATGCTAAAAAATTAGGTACATAAAATAGTTATAAAGTAAAAAATAAACATGTAAGCAAATTCAGTATATCAAGATATAAGTAAATCCACCAAACACCTAGAATAAAAAATTGTCCCATTTTACAAATAAATTTCATTTTTTTTTAATGAAACAGTTTCTCTGTAATTCATTCAAAGAGTTGGTGTTTTTATAAAGTTATTCAATATTTTAAGTAGTCTCTTGTAATCCAATTAAAAGTAATTATTTCATTTGTTCACTGGAATTGCCATTTTTATTTCCTTAATTTATAAAGCCTCAGAGAATTTTCTTTTTTCATCTCATGGAAAATTCTTATTCAGAGTTCATTAACATTCTCAAGTGGATTTTGTTGCATATCTTGTTCTATAATATCTTCTGGAGATAGGCTGTTTCCGAAAAAATGGCACAATTGTCATGATTGATTCAAAGTCTCAATTCATTTCCTGATGGAGTTCTTCTAAACATATTAAGTTATTTCCCACATACATTTAAACTTTCTTGTTCTTTCTAGTGTACACACCAAATCAAAGTTAACTTGGGCCTAGAAAGGTGTGGATAATTCATTATATTATTTCCATGATGTTTTAATTCTGTAATCTGTCCTGAAATTGCCTGTAGTGCTAGACTTTAGAAACTTAATAATTACAGAGCCAGATCTCTGTGAGGCATTGTCTTTCACTTTTAATGTGTAAGCATTCACTATCTCAAGTTTAAAATAAGATGGCAAAAATTTTTCCTTCTCTTTTATTTTCTGCTCTGTGAACTCTCCCTCAGAAGATATAAGACAGTTGGTGGTTGAATTTTGGGGCTTGGTGGGCCTATGTGGATTATAAATTGAACAAGAGAAGAAGATAATACTTTTTGAAGAATAAAGGGATCAACAGTTTAACAACTCTTTGATTACAATTTATATCTTCGCTCTCCTCTTGGATTACAATTAACAGTTTTAGTTCCTCTTTTTTATGAATTATAATTACGTTCCTCTGGGATTACAATAAAAAAAACAAAACCAGTGACATTATTTGGAGATTGAAAATAAGAAGAAGGAAGAAGGAAAAAGGGATTTAGTAATATTGAATGTTTTGATTCCTGAATAGCTTTGTAAAAAGGGAAATTGGAGGGAGATAGTGAAGTGGGCAGTCAACACTGGAGCTGTTGGGTATTGTAGTTATTATCTTTAATTGTTTTAAATTTATTAAAACATCTTAAAATGAAGAAAACTACATCAGCGCCATCCTCAGCAGCAGCAGCATCTAGCCCAGCAGGCCCAAGGTCATTGGATGCTATGTTGGAGTAAGAAAGAATGAATATGATGCAATTAGAGATGAAAGCTATGATTCAGGCCATGCATGAAGACATTAAGGAAAGAATAGGAAAAGTAAAGGATAAAAATAGAGAATTTTCAACAAATAATGGCTAAAAATGAACAATGCGTTCAGAAAGTAGAAGAGAAAGCTGAACAAACAGAGAAAAGAGTGGAAGAGGTTGATTACAGACTTACCCTGGCAGACAAAAGTCATGAGAGAACAATAATATCACTTGAGATGAATAAGGCTGATTACTACTTGTGATTCCAGAATATTGAGAAAGAAAAGGGAGAAAATTTGGCTGAGATAATGGCAGAGCTGCTGACAAATGCTTTAGAGGTGACCAAAGAAAAGGTGCTTGCTGAGATGGATGAAATATTTAGAGTTTACACTAGATATGCGACAAGAAATAGACACGCCAGAGAGGTACATGTGAGATTTACTAAAAAAGCAATAAAAGCAGGGGTACTACAAAGAGCAAGAGATGACCTTTTAAAATACAAAGGGAAAGAAATAGTAGTTTTAAAACAGGTCCCCAGAAAGTAAGAGAAATAAGAAAGGAATATCAATTTCTGACAAGGAAGCTCATTAAGAATGGAGTAAATTTTAGATGGTATCCAAGATGTATGGCGCGAGACACATCCTAAGGAAAAGCAATATTCATTTTATTCATAGGCATATGTCTTGGTCAAGAATAGATATGATATGGATGTCAGCTAAATTCAGATCTAATGTACAAGAAATAGATATAGAAACAAGTAAATGGGCAGACCACAATCCAATAACAGTTAAATGGAAAGGACAAGAAAGGAAATTAAGATGGATGTTGAATCAATCAATATTAAAAGATAAGGAATTTATTCAATTCATGGAAAAAGAATTAGACTTTTTCTTTAAAGAGAATAGAAAAGAAGAGACCTCATTACAAAATGGGACACAGCTAAGGCATACATTAGAGATTTAGCTATAACTTATATGAGAAAGAAAAATAAGAAGAAACAAAACCAAAAGATATTAGAAGCAGAATATAAGAGGCTAGAGATGGAACTACAAAAAGAACGACAAAAAAAGAATCTAAAAAAACAAATGGAATTAATAAAACATAAGTAGAACTTAATAGATAAAGAAG